AAAAAATTTATTAAAAAAATATAATTTCCTAAAAGAAATTGTATGTATTAATATCTTTTAAGTTAATTTTATGGTTCTGTTTTTCATCACATTGCAAAAACTTTTCACAATATGTAATACAAAATATTTTTTATTTTGACTTTTGTCAATTTTTTTAGTATTTTAATGTAAAAGTTAATTCATCACACATTTATTATAGGCTCATTTCGAAATGTTTTTAGGTAAATTAATTTAAATCGATTCCTCATGAAATTAATTGTTACCTGTAATAAAAAAATCGTATTAATATCATAATTAACAAAAAAATCTAAATAAAAAAGAAAAGTATAGGGCAGGTAAATATTTTTTATTTTTGAGTTAAGTTTACTTGTTTTGATAGGTTGCATAGTTTCACCGTGTCTTCCATTGGCATCCTAAGGTAAGAGTAGTTGAGATATCACTTTCGTAATTTATATATTTTACAAATATTTTATAAATTATTACTACTTCATGCATCTACAGAAAATTTTCATGTACCAAAAAATAATTACTATTATAGAATTAAGTATGTTTTGCTCTTTTTTAAGTGAGATAATACTCATTTGTCTAGTTTATGGTTAAAAAGGAAAAAATAATCCTTTTTTCTTTTATTTTTATTTACATGGTTTAGGTTACGAAAATACCTCTCTCTTTTCAAAAGTCATATAAAAAAAATTATATGTACATAATTATTAAACTAAAAAAATAAAAACAAACGTTTTTTTCTATATTCAACATAATAAAAGTTTTACTTAGTCATTATCATAACCATGTTAAATGAAAATCTCATGATTTTTTTTACAAAACTAGTGTAATTTTTTATATTTATAAGAATGGATATATATATTTTAAAAAATACATAATTTTTTTTTTGAAAATACGATTTTATTATACAAAGAATTTGTGCTTCAAGTAATCTGTGATTACATTAATTTTTTAGTTTTAAAATTAGTTTTTAAAAGGATTAGATGAATATAAAAATAATATTAATAACCACTATAAACTAAATTATATAACAAAAATAGAAACATATGATAGTCATGGACTAAAACAAAAATATCTGAAATTAATTGGTTCAACAAAAACTGATCAAAACAAAAACCATTGCAACGTATTGAAACACCAACTTGTGAAATAAAATTTGTATGGATAGTTTTTCTTCAATTTATTTAACATATTGTTTATTGCTTTATGAAATTTTGTATTTTAATTTTATAAAAAATAATATTTTAATTTTACAAAATATATTTATTAATAATAAAATAAACATTAAAAAGTTAATAATTATAATTTAATAATTTACAATATTAGTTCAATTTAAAAATATTATTTTAAAAATACAGAAATTTTAAATATAATTTAATATAAAAATACAATTTTAAATATAATTCACCTCACCTATATATTCAAATGAAGTTAAAAAATATAATTTTTGTGATTTTTTTTAAAGTTCCATAATCAATGGTTTCGAAATCATAGTCCACAGAATTCTAAAATTTCGTTTTTTAAATTTTTATTTTCTATTTCAAAACAAGAAATATGTTTTTGAAAATCATTTTTCTATAAAAGAAAAAGAGTTTTTCAATTTTTGTTCCATTTTCTTGGCAAAAGCCAAGCGTTGTCTAAGTTTAATGGAATCATAAATTGAAAAATTATTTTGTTTTGTTGGTTTTTCAAAAATGAAAGTACCAACTTCTGGATGGTCCAACATACTCGTTATCACCTCCAACATAGCTGACCATTGCTTGTACTCGCTTCTTCAAGGTTCCAAAATCCTTGAAATTTGTTGTGTTTGTCATTACCTATCGCCTTCAAAAAAGAAGGATATGATAGGTAGACGCCACGCTTGTCTCCAGTAAAAAGGCAATAGGTCTCTTTCTTGGGTTTTTTAAAAACAGCGGGCAACATTTTTGCAAAATAATAATTTAATGCATTAATAGCATTAAACTTTGCTATTGTACTACAAGCTCGATGAAGAGCATCAAGTAGTACCTTTTGTTCCCTTGAAACGGGACAATTCCTCAAACATTTGAATTGTTGAGGGTGACCTTCTGGTAAAACCAGAAGATGCTGTATTCCAAACTTTAGAGTATCAAACTCTTCAGTTGTTGAGGCTGGTAAATTGCTTTTGTTGATTGGGTTTGCTATATTAGTACCTGTATAACTAAAGAAACTCTGCAATACCCTTTTATTAGTTTTCTTATCAAAAGAAGAAACTGTTGTGTTCATTAGACAATATCCAAAATCATCTAATATATTTCCTAATTCATTATATTTATTATCCAGTTGGAAATCATTTTCATTTGGATAAATGTGAATGAATTCATTATTTGTGAAATAATTTATTAGGCTATAATCTTTATGACTTTTGTCTAAATTGATTTCATCATTGTACTTTGTAATACTAATTACTGATAGTATTTCAGAGTCAGTAAAAACATCTTCATCTATTGGAAGAAGGTTCATGTGGTAGGATTTTATCAATTCTGCCTCTTTTGTATAAAGATTTGCAATATTAGGACAATCTCTAGAGAAATGTCCTAGTTGATTACAAGCAAAACACTTCAAAGTTTGCTTGTATGTTTTGTTGTCTCTAAATTTTCTGACGTGTCTATTAGGATTTAGAGTTGGTTTTGTAGAATTTGAAGACCTAATCATGTAAGTCTTTCTAGAAATTGAGGGTTTTTGTCTTTCAGAATAAGAATTCTGATTATAATTTTTATTATACCTAGGTTTACTTCTAGGTAAAGGCTTTTTGTAAGGCTTGTTTTGATTATACTGCTGAGGAGTATAAATTTGTTTGCAAATTCCAGCATCGGAATTTTTTAATTGCTTTTGTATAGCAATATGAGTACACGTATCTTCCATCACTTTCATGATGTGTTGTATACATATAGAGATGTTGTTCAACATGGGAGTAACCTCATCATTTTTCCAGGATTCTCCGATCTTTTGGCCAAGTTTTCTTGGTAGTTTGAGAAATATCTTTTCTCCAATACTTAAATCATGGAAACATCCAGCTATAGATGCGTACATGAGATAATCTTGTAAAAATTATTTGATCTTTCCAAAGTATGTTATGGAAAGTCTTTCCAAATGACCCAGATAAATCTGTTGTCTGAGTGTGTTCCCATCATTAGCAGACTGGGAAGTAAGCAATTTTTGTAACAAAGAACAAAAATTGTATATGTTAGGACCTGGTTCGATCACAAACATATTTAAGTCAGCTGGGTAATTTTTCTTAAAAGATTCCCAACAAGCTCTAGCTATATCACCTAAATAGGTTTCAACTTTAGCAATCATTTCTTGAGAAGAATGAACATTTTTCTCATGATGTATGCCATAATCACGGATTACAGCTGCAGTCCATTGCTCAATGTATGTTGGCAATAGTTGAGGATCTATTCCTCCTATGTTTAGAAGAAGATTAGGCATTTGGAAATTTGGCTCTATCGGAAGCCTTTTGCCTAATGTTGTGTATTGGTTGTCACTAAAGACAACATTTTGTGGTGATACTCTAGGTGGAAAATCGGTAGAGTAACTGTGTATACCATCAAGTTCTAACTGATAGCTGTGAGGTTGATAACTATTTGATCCCTCATTTGTATTTACTAACCCTAATGTTGATAAGAGTTCTGAAATTATGGATACATTATCTAATGTATCCTTATTTCTGTTGCCTAACTTAGACAATGATTCTTCGATTAAAGATACATTATCCAGTGTATCTTCATCATTTGTGTCTTATAACCCTAATATGGGTAAGGGTTCTGAGACTTTAGATACATTATCTAATGTATCATTTTCTTTATCTGAAAAATACTCATCTAAGAATGCATTTATAATATCGTCCATCTTATTAATGACATCATCTTCCTCATTAATTTGGACATTTTCTTTTGTATGAGACAAAAAATTTGAAGTTCCTTGTCTAAACATGGCTATGATAGCCTGATGACCATTCCTCATCAGTCATGTCATCATCTTCATCTTCTTTATATTCTATAATATTCATCATAGAAATGTTTTCATTGTCAGGAATAGCAGAAGTGTTATGCCTATTTTCCACTGGTCTATCTTGTTCTAGGTCTAGTCGTGGAATATTTCTATAGTATGTGAAACTTAGACTAAGTCCTCTAGATTTGTTATGCAAAATAGTAGATGAAGGGGCAGTAACGGGAGTATCTTCTTCCCTGGGTAAGTGTGTTTGCCACAAGTGTCCTTTATTTCTCCTTGTGAAGGCTTGAGCTGACAAAAGTTGTCTACAATGAGAGCTTATATCTTCCTCTAATGGTCTTGTATCAATCCTATACATGGAAGAAATATGAGTGTGCTCTTACAAATTACTTCTTCCCCAAGAAATCCTAATTCCCTTGACAGCATGACAAAACATGTTGTTAAGTTATACACAGAGGTAAATCTTGATATGCGTACCTCAATAGAACAAGATCTCTCTCAGGGAATTACTCTAAACAAAGATAAGTTTTACCAATATCAACTTTGGAAAGTTTATGTAGAAGGATCTAACTGGAATTTCTCTAAAAAAGATATTTCAGATTTTAGTCTTCTCAAAGAAACTGCTGATACCAAACTCTATTGGAAACAACTTATGGGAAACAAGTTTTATCCCTTCTCAATTGAAGTCAGTCCCATTCTGATAGAACACTTCAAAAGAGAAATGATTATCAAAGAAATTAAGGAAGAAACCAATTTTTTTAAAAAATCATACTTAAAATACATTTTTTTTTGTAATTTTTTAAAACATACCTATATTTGTGTAAATACAAATTTAAATTACTCCATTTTCGTAAAAAAAAAATAATAATCCGGAATTGTCACCATACAGTGCCGTCGTTATCCACATGTAAATTGGATCCACCGAATCCACGCAAAAGTTGCATTTGCACCCTGTAGAAGAAAGAGCAAAGAACTTCTAAGAAAAACTGAAGCCAGAAGAAGAAAAAGAGTATTGAAAAGCAAGGATGAATGGGGACCAACTCCCAGCACCTGAAGGCATACCCTTTGGATCCGTATGGTGGTTCGTCTACGCCGGAATCTCCTGTTTCCTCGTCATCTTTGCCGGAATCATGTCCGGCCTAACCCTAGGTCTCATGTCTCTCGGTCTCGTCGATCTCGAGATTCTTCAGCGCAGCGGTTCTCCATCCGAGAAAAAACAAGCAGGTTTTTCATCTTTCCTTTCCATTCCATTTCTCTGTTTGCAGCGGTCGAATTTTCGTATAATATTATCGGATTACGTAATTTCGATGAACACGCTTTTCTTTGATAACTAAGGAGTTGAATACAAGATTTTGTGTGTTTACGTGCGCGCGTGTGTGCATATGCAGCGATTATACTTCCTGTGGTTCAAAAACAACACCAGCTTCTTGTGACTCTACTTCTGTGTAATGCTGCTGCCATGGAGGTAGGTAATTAGTTGGACTGCAATGCTCTATGATTTTCTATTTCTAAGTTAAAATCGTTAGAATAACATAACTTGTTTGTTGGAGGAGAGGTTATTATAACTCAGTGGATTAGTTTATTTTCATACGATACCGGAGGTAAATTTGGAACGATGACTTCTGTGAAACTAGCTTCTTGCGAATGGTTGTAGGTGCTTAAATTGAAACACTGCCGTGCCGTGTTTTGTAAGAGATGGATTAGGCAGATTGAATAACCTGTTAAAATGGACACGTTGATTGGATTTTCTGTGATAAATGAATCTTCTTTTTGGATGTTGGAGGCTTTGCCGAGTAATTGTATGTATTGACTGTGCATATATACTCCTTACACTGACTAGTCGATCATGCCTAACTTTTAAGCAGCTGTTGCTTTGAAACCTTGCAATCGCAGGCCCTTCCAATATACCTAGATAAGCTGTTTAATCAGTTTGTTGCTATCATTCTATCGGTGACTTTCGTTCTGTTTTTCGGGGAGGTACGTGGTTTTGCCATCTTTCATGGTTCTGTGGTTTAGCATCAACATTCGTATGCAATGAATATGCAGTCTCCTTTTTGCCTCTCTGGTTTCAGGTTATTCCACAGTCAATTTGTAGTAGATATGGCCTTGCTGTTGGTGCTAACTTCGTATGGCTTGTCCGGATTTTAATGATAATCTGTTACCCAGTTGCTTATCCCATTGGAAAGGTATTTAATCATATATTGGATAATTACGAGCCTTTCCAGTATATGAACCATTGATGCAGTTGACTATGCATTAACCTGTATTAATTATGTTTCTTTGTATTCTGTTTGAAAACCACGATGATATATAATTAAGTAGAGGATGAAAAAGTGGAAATTAATGGCATTTCATCTCATGACGTCCATGAAACTTCAATATGCAAATGTGTGTGTTTAAGGTTTTTTCTAGTCTTGCTTGCTTTAGTATGTAATCAAATGAGTAATAATGACATGGATGCCTTTTGGTCGAAAAGCAGATCATTAGACTCGTATAAAAATGTATATATATAGGAACAACTTATAGAAAGATCAAGCCATAAGTTTTCTTTTTCTCACTGATATTTGTTCCAGGTTCTAGACCGGCTATTGGGGCATAATGAGGCTTTATTTCGGCGATCTCAGTTAAAAGCTCTTGTCTCGATCCACAGCAAGGAGGTATGAAAATAATATGTATTATTTTGACTGATTAGTAGAGGAATCTATCATGTCAAAATTGCTATAGTTATCCAGTTATTACCATTGTGTCATTGGTGGTTGGTTCAGAAATTTTGAATTTCTTTTTTTCAGGCTGGGAAAGGTGGAGAGCTTACGCATGATGAGACAACAATTATTAGTGGAGCTCTAGATTTGACTGAAAAGGTAAACAAACATTTCACCCATGATATATTTTGAATAGAGTGCTGATTGACAAACATTCCAAAAAAGTAAAAGAACATTCATACATGATACAACCTTTTTTATTTTTTGTTATAAAATTAATTTATTATCTTTAAATTTAAATAAAAAATATCAAATCATAAGTGTTGGATGGGTGTTTCGGACATTAAGAGTGTACCTGTATCATTTTCCTTTTAAATATCAACGCATCTATCAACATTTCATATGACATAACGACAGATAATTTGTAATATGAGACTCAATACATCAAAGTTTTTATGTTTATAACCTTTTATGTAATTTTATAATTTCAATACAAATTGAAGATGATGGAATGTGGAAACATTTGAGGATGCTTCGTGAATTAAGTAATTTTTAACTAGTTATAGCATGTGTGAATTCCCATTATGTGAACCTTTGTCAGAGTAGAATTCATGTTCAACTTTTAGTGTCTTCTGTTTTGAAATACTAGGAAAGATAAGGGGGTTTTGGACATGGAATCGGAAAGATATGGGTATATTTAATGCATACAAAATGATTTATGGTAAAAATATTTTTTGGCCTATCAAAGTATCACTTATTCTTGGTGCAAATTTTCCCATCCACTTCCCCATGAACTTGTATTCTCCAAACTATACATTATTCTTTGTACTAAAGTTTTCTCTTTATTTTACGTCAGTATTAATTATCTTGCTGTACTATTTCGACTTGTGCAAGATATATTTTATACATCTATGTAGAACTTTCCTTTCTTCTATTATTGATTTTACTTTGATCAGACTGCTGAAGAGGCCATGACCCCTATCGAATCAACTTTTTCTTTGGATGTTAATTCAAAATTGGACTGGTCAGTATCTTCTTGATGCATCTCACTCTATCTTCATTAAATTTATTTGGATTGAACATGTGTTTTATTGTCTTTGCTTTTTCCCCTGACTTAATTCTCATGATACTGTCTGTTGGGATTGTTATTGAGTGTGTGTTTTCAATGATATAAATGTTTGTGCTGGGCTAAATAGACTTTTCAACAACCAAATAGACAAGATTCAGGAAATCTAGTATACGAACAAGTCAATTGGAGATTGTAAAGGAACAATTGTTAAAATCAGTATAAAAAGCCACAATTCTTCATTATATAAGCAAAAAGAGCAATGAGTACACTGGGAGAAAAGAAAACAGGCAGACCTTTACATTTCAGAATAGGCCAAGAGAAAACAGTTTTTCACAATTACAAGAAGGACATATAATATATAATCTAAAGTATAAATTTATTTTCTTCCAATACCATTCATATTTCTTAACTGGGTTGTTCCCTTGTCTGATTGACATCCTTCTTATTAATCCAAATGCTAGCAAATAAGAGCACATATAGTGTTAAGATCTCAATTGGGATCTTATATTCGGTTCTTACTCTGTCCAGATACAAGATCTCTAAAGATTTTATCAGTATATCTCATTTTGAGATCTTAATTAACTTTTGTAGGTATGATAATAAATTTTAACTTAATAATTTTTAAAATATTAATCAATTATTAAAAATTAAAATAATAGGCATAAAGTAAAAATATTAGTAATTGATATTTTAATTGACTCCATTTAGTGTCTTCTTGTAAATTGTCATGAAAGTTGCTCTAATTGAGTTATTCTTAACCAAAATCGATCTATTAATTGATCGTCACCAATAACTAGATCTAGCAAGATATCAAACCAAGAGCTAACGGTATGTTTATCATCTTTAATTGAGAAGTAAATCTTTTTCTTCTTTTAGGTAGAATTTGCTCTTTTTGTGTGATATTTTTCAACCCAATTTGGGTAGAAAATAATGGAAGTTTGGTTTCAATATATAGTTAGGAAGAGTCTGTGGGCCGTTAGAGCTAACGTGAACCCTATAGAAATTGTGCAAAAATAAAAAGATTGAGTACGTTGAGAATCTTCCTTGAATGGAAATTGACTATTTTGTATCATATTATGGTAGGCAATAAGGGAAAAAAAAAGAAAAGATTTTGGGTAATTGGTTGTGGTGGTGGCACAAAGGGGAGAATTGAAGTTGATTTTGAGAATTTTCAGTTGAAGGAGTCATTTTGTAGTTTTGTAAATAAATTAAAATAAACTTGCCAATTATATTGATTTGGATACATTTGGAAAGGAGAAAAAAAAATCTTAAATTGGAATTGAGGATTTGAAGTAAAAATCTAAAAAATGGGTTTAAAAAATAAAATAAAATAATGAGTTGTTTGTTGTTCTTTCAAGTTTCTTGTGTTTGAACAAAATGGGGGATGAGATGCTTAATTATGACCTGTCATGGATTTATATTTTATATTTGTCGAGGTATGAAACATTCTGTAAGTTGCTTATAGCAGAGTTGATCCAATGAATGCATTACCCATGTCATTGAAAACATAGAACTAAGATCATAGTCAGTTTTTATATTTGTCGATTTATTTATAGCCTGCTAAGATTGATGCGTTCAACTAACAGTGGTGAGTTTAGTTGGCAGTCAATTAATTTATTTGGACATACAGTGGTTGATATTCCTGAATAGAATAGATTGTAAATAGTTTATTGAAATTTGTTTGGAAAGTGGATCTTTGAGTGAGAAGAATTCATTTGCTTACTTTTGCAAGGACTTTTTTGGTGGCTGAAGGTATATTTTCCACAGCACCATTTACTGGAAATGTGATTAATATTTCTCAAGGTATCATACCCCTCAAAATAAGTAGGATCTGACGTCACTTGCATACTGAGTAGAATTATTGGCTAGAAGATACAATGTATATGTATTAACTCTTGCAATTTTCATCCCTTTAATCTACGTTGTGAATCTCAAATCAGGGAGGCAATGGGGAAAATTCTTGCTCGTGGCCACAGCCGAGTTCCTGTCTATTCTGGAAGTCCAAAAAACATTATTGGACTTCTACTGGTGGGTGTTAAATCCTTCCAATCTTGACTATAAATTAGTCTATTCCTTTTAACTACTTTATATATTCTCTTCTCTTCACTTAAATTCTATTTAAAATTAGGTCAAAAGTCTTCTCACTGTACGGCCTGAAACTGAGACACCTATCGGTGCTGTTTCCATCCGGAGAATCCCACGGTACATTTGTTGTCTTGTCAAGGATTAACTATACTGAAAGCTAAATTTTAAATAGAGTTAGAATTGTGAACTTTACATCTTTGACACACACCCTTGTGCAAGAGCCCTTTGGCCTGGGAGCAGGGACAAAATACTAGCTCATTTAGCTGATGCTGAAATTTAGTTCAATTAAGAATTGGGGTGTTAAGGATCAAATTCCTATCCATTTAGACACAAAGCTCTACCATGTCAAGAATCAGGTCTCCTCAAAAGAATAAGGGGATTAGATAGAAGCACGTTTATGAGTTTCATGTCTTTAACTTTTGATTTATTAATTTATACTCTTGTTATTTTCTTTAAAATTTAATTTCAAATACGAGTAATTTGTCTAATGTTTTATATTATATTTACAGAGTTCCTGCGGATATGCCTCTTTACGATATATTGAATGAGTTTCAAAAGGGCAGTAGCCATATGGCTGCTGTTGTTAGAGCTAGGGGGAAGGAAAAGACAATCCCTGAAGTAACTGGTGCAGGGACATACGAAAAAAACAAGGAGGTTGGTGGGGATTCACAATTAACGACTCCATTACTCCTGAAGCAGGATGAGATGTCTGAAAGTGTTGTTGACATTGACAAGTTTTCAAGGCCTCCAAGCATTAATAAGTCAACTGGTTTGCAACGTAGTGATGCCACAAAAAATGGTTCCTATTCAGAAAATATTGATGATGGTGAAGTGATTGGTATTATCACATTAGAAGATGTATTTGAAGAACTTTTACAAGTATATTACAGTGGTTTGAGATATTCCCCCACCCTCAGTAGACTAGTACATTTTTATTCCCACAATATGATTGGATGTGTTTACTATGATGCAGGAGGAGATTGTGGATGAGACAGATGAATATATTGATGTTCATAAGAGGTAATTGTTTTTAGTTCTTGCTGACTAGTATGGAACTGCTGTAAATCAGAATTTGAATGTTACCTATTTTATATTTCAGAATACGTGTGGCTGCAGCTGCTGCTGCTTCCTCGGTTGCACGGGCTCCATCAATCCGAAGATTGACTGGCCAAAAGGGAGCAGTAAGTACTGTTAGTCCTTTTTTCTGAAATTGTTTAATGTATTTCATGTTTGTCATAGAATTCTATCTTTTGCATTCTGCTTGAACGAGAAAAATGCTCTTTTTGTGGGGAGTGGGAGGAGGGAGGTTATACAAGAACCAACCCAGCACCATAGGTTGAGCTCATAGGTGACTCAAAGTTAAACCCCTCACCTCTTTGGCGAGCCAAGAGTTCTCAACCCAGCTTAACCCATTAAAGTGTTGTGTTTGTTTGCCTGTTAAAATCTGTTGCACTTGTACACATGCCATAACTAAATGTGAAAGGAAAAAATTGATGCTCATGGTTAGATACATTGAAATGATTTATATCTTTAACTTTTGTCCCATGAAATGCTTTATTGTATGACAGCAGAATCAAAATGAATATGCAGTATGCAGATTTGTCATTCGACATATTTTTTTATTTTGTTTATAGTTCCCAAGTGTAGTAGTGTTATCAACTCGAGATGTTTGTGCCCCTGCCCACACTAGAACACCAATTAGGTCATCAGAATGATGTGCAATGGTGATTGATTGAATGATTGATTTGACACTGAAGTGATTGAATGGCTTTCCCTCAATCAGTTGCATATTTCCCCTCTGACCCTCCGTAATTCTAATAATTTGAAGTTAATTTCTTTAGCATCAAGGGATATGAAACGACTTATGAACGTCGCAAATTTCATATTTTTTAAGGGAGAAAATTGGAGCTTGATTGTTGGTAATCTTATAACTTCAGTTTTTTGAAAAGCTATGTCTGTAATTCATGCCCAGACGCTCAACTTTCATTTTTTTTTGTGATAAGTTATAATTTTAGGTCCTGATTTTAATCATTCAGGGAGGCCAAGGTAAGACAGGGCTGACTCTGAAGAAATCTGCACAGGACGGTGGATCGAATAGGCCACAGTGAGCTCTTTTTCCTATACGGAGGATTGGTAGCTGTTCTTGTGCATAAAGTATATATACGAAACGGTGATAAATGATACATTTAGTTAAGTTTCATTTTCGTGTATTCCAATTTTGGACAAGTAGAAAATAAGTTATAGTTATAGCTATGAATAATGAATATAAATTTCCCTCACCCTTTAAATTCACTAAAAAACAACAAAAAATTCGTGTTATATTTATGTTCTTATATTCCTATGCATGGCAATTAATAATTATTATTATTAAAATTTCAATTAAGTGGTCACCGAAAAAGTTTATTTGACTACCTCTTTGTTTGTATACAATCATTAAACATGTTAATATAGTAATGATATTTAATATAATATTAATATTTTTTAAATAATTAAGCATGTTAATATAATAATAATATTTAATATAGTATTAATATTTGTAGATGTATTGTTTTGGTGTGAATATATCACCCTTCTTTGTGTTATAAGCCATTTTATTCATTACACTTGCATCTAATGTAACTTTTGACATACCGAGTATTAGTTTATTTTAAATTTTAAAATTTAGTATTAACCTCCTTTGATAAATTGTTCTAATATAAAAAATTATGGAAATGTGAAATTTTCATTACCTAATATGCATGTTTAATTCAATCGTGGAAAGAATGTTAAATGATATTTTTGTTTTGTTGTTAGCGTTTCTCTTTTTATTATATTAATGTTTAAAATATATTAGTATAACAAAATAATGTCATTATAAATATTTTTTTTTCATTATTCTGAGTAGTAATCTTCCAAATGATTAATTCCGACTCATCTTAAATCTATAATGTCTTCTATCGAGTCGAGATCGTTAAAACTTAGGAATAGAAATGTGAGATCGGTTAAATCTTCGGAATAGAAATGTGAGTGACTTTTTAGTAAATAAAGTGAAGTTGTAATTTTGTGTTTGATTTTCATAAATAGAGTGGAGATGAGAGTAGGGGATTTGAGAGGGGATGGAGGATCTCGGTTGGAAGAAAAAAACAATTCATCTTATATATATTTATATAAATATTCTTATTAGAGAATTTATTCTTTAGTTTAGAAAATTGATTCTTTAGTCATTTTTAGATTAATTTGGTTATTTTTTATTTTTTTATTAATTTTTTATATTATTCACATCAATTTTTTTATTTTATTTTTATATTTCTTATCATCTTTTTCTAAATTTAAACAATTTTATTTTTTGTTCTTTCTTTCTTTAAATCTATTATTTTTCGTAAACATCATTATTTAGCATAAGTACTAATAAGATATATATGACTACTAAAGGTTATTACTAAAAATACTTGTGATTGAAAAAATATTTCTATTTAATTGGGTATTAAATTCTTAGATTAAGCGAAAATAATGAAAGGGAACGTTAGAATTTAAAAGTATTAAAAAAAAATCTACAAATATTTTTAAAATTTTAAAATTTTCTAATAAGTACATAATAATTTATTAATGAATTCGGACTGGAAAAGAAAAGTTCATGAAAAAATTACAGGAAACATTTTCGGTAGATATATATTCAATAATTAGATATAATAGATATTTTAAGAGTAAAAAATATTTTTTATATAATTTATTTTTTCATTCATCCAAATAAGTAAATAATTTTTTCATTCTTATTTTTATTCATCTAAATAACTTTTATTCATTTTTCTTTTCTTTTATTCTCAGTTTTCTTCCTATTTTTTCCTTTAAATAAAGAAAACATATATGTTAAGAGGTGAAATTTTAAAGTTAATTAAAAACTATCAAAATATCTGCAATATCTCATTTAATTTGAATATATAGTGGCTAAAGTACCGTGAGAAATTTTCATATTTTAAGAAATATTTTTATAATTTTTTAAAATTATAAAAAATATATTTCTTATAAATTTAAATAATATTTTATAAGAAAAATTATAGAAAATAATGAACTTTTATCAGAAAAAAATAATGAAGTTTTGAAATTTGATTTTATATCCGTGAATAAAAAACAAAGATATGAGGCAGAGTCCTTGGTTAAATAATAGATTATATTGAACTCTGTACCGAAGAAATACTACAAGTTCATTAAAAACAAATAATGGTCATGGATGACTCAACCAATAAGAAAAACTTTTGTGATAAGTACAAAACTTTCAAAATGATGAAAAAGAAAAAAAAGAAATCTAGATATTTCTTTCCACGTCTATAGAAAATTTAAAATTACAACAAGTTTGCAACAAAAGCACCCAAAAAAGTCGAAGCAGGGCTACCTTCCAATATGTACTTTTTCAATCATTGAAGTCATCTCAAATTCTTCCACTGGTGTCTACAGCTGCACTTCAGCCTTCTGCTATAAGCAGTGCACTAACATGTCTAACATTCTGACTTGTAGAGAGGAGAAAGAAGAAGAAAATAAAAAAACTAAGCAACTTTTGACATTATATTCCAGTATACATATATCTTCAACCCTACTTGATTGAGAGGACCATGTTGCTGAACTGGTATCTTCTTCACTTTTCCACATAATCAGCAGACCCTTCTGATGATCTTTACTTCATAATCAGACACCTTCATAATCGCTCCTGCCACCTCAGAAGGATCACTAAACACCTCCATATGATATAAAATCTAGTTTTCTGCTCCCGGAAGAGCCTTGAGAACCGTTTCCATAGCTGAAACTTAGGAGATCTCCGTGACAAGAACTGTCCTGCCATGCAGTAAATGCCTAGACAACATAGACATTCAGCACTTGATATAATTTCTACATATATAGAAAGCAGATGGTGGAGAGAGTGAGAAATTGCGTAGTAGGTGTGTGTGGCTCGAATAGACTATAATGGAATCTTATATGTCAAAGTGGTGTCTGCAACATTGTCCCCCTCCCTAGGTCACTTGAAAAGGACTTGTTGCAATTCATACTAAACCCTGTCCGTATTAGCATGTATGTTATCTACCACCTCTCTGACTTCATATATAGTATATTCGCATAACAAGTACATTGGTGCCTTTATTTATTTATTTATTTCAGATTTTCTTTGTATGTATTCTCTTAGATAGTTTCAATTATTGCAAATTAAAAAATAATTTTACATTTATAATAAAAACCTTGGTCATGTCTTGAGGCAAGGATTACATCTGTGATAATATAGCCTTACTAGTGGAAACTGAAAATTTTTGTATGCAGATGTGAAAAAACGTGTAAGTATTTCTATAAACATTCTTGGAATATTAAGGCATTAACTTTCAAATACCAACAGCAATCCTGTCTAAGTAACATCAGTTTCTGCTGGAATGAGAGGTTTTAAGCATATTCAAGAAGTGAGACAAGACATGCACAAGCAAGCAACTACACCAAAAAGGTTCCTTTCGAATATATTATTTTTCATATGTATGTTTCTGAGACAACACAAACAACACTCAACAGAGAGTTGCTCTAGGGAGAAGGGAGCCAGAGAGAATTTACAGTTCTGAGTTGATTTTAAAACCTGAAGTACAGTCTGAAAAAGTTAGATACAAAAGATCATTGGTTGCTAACGGTAACAGTCAAATAGAGTAATCCACCGAGGTAAAACCTGATTGAAAATACTTCAAACAGTGTTTTTGTCTAGGAGTACTTATGCCAATTAAGAAGCATAGAGATACAAATCCTCATAATATAAAGCTTTCCCCTTTGTTGCTGCACGAATCTCCTCCACTTGGCATATCTTCTACCACCCATGTTTCTCATCAGAAAAGTCTGTAATTGTATAACATGTATTGCTCGATCAGTTGCTACTACTAACGGGCAAGACACACAATTTATAAAAGGTTAATTCGATGTGGCAAGAGGGAATATGCGAATTTGATTCACTTTTAGATTTGAAATGTCTCATCCAATGTTAAGGCTCCACCTGTGCTTGAATTGGATACCAACACACGTGCTTCCGAAATTCATCTTAAATGCATAGCATTTTAGTATAATACCGGCCATTGGTGATTGTTGTTTCCATGAAAAAGATTAACAAGTACAAAAGCACCACCCTTATCTTAAACAGTGACTAACCTCACATCATTATCCTCTCAAACATAAAGGGTCTCTTTAACTTCCTTCTTCAAGAGTTTCAAATGAGAGACACATGCGAGGGCTTGTTTTTACACTAGCCTTGGACGATGATGCCAAAACTTCACGTGATATCCACACCATGCAGTCTATTGGGTCATAATGGGGAGCTTAGTTTGTTCTTCCTCAAACAGGTGAAGCATGTGACTTGTAAGCTTGTCATATAATTTCTCACTGTTTTTGGAAAAGATTGGAAAAAGGAAACGCTCCGCGTATCTTATCTTTAAAGCAGAAGTATCATAGATAAGATATCTTTTGGTGTATGAAACAAATCGTTGTGGACCTTAAGGATTTAGTCCACTGATATCCAGCTATTATGGGGCCTAGTTAAATAGTCATGGTGAAATTTGAGCCACTGAAAGGACTAAGAATAGTGTTGCACTAATGAGGGCAATGCACATGGAAGCTAGTTGCTGAAGGGTGTGTATCAACCATGGGGACATGTTACTTCAAGAGTTGGAATTTTGTGCTGTTTTCATCTGAAATGAAAGAAAAGAAAGCTCCAGGCTGGTGGCAAGTCTTGCACTGAGCCTTCAATTTGTTGGCTGTCTTGTGAAATATGCAATAATGAGCAGATAGCAGCTGATATGTGCAGTTCATGATGTGACTATCTGAGACCACACACGAAAAGTACTGTGTCAACATTCCCTTTAGATAAACATTGTGCATGCAAATGAGTTTAAATCCGTGTGTCAGAAAACCGGTTCATCAGAGTGATAGAGAAATGTACTTTGTCCCATTGAATTTGGAACGCATGTCTAGACATGAACTGAATATTTTGCACATATATAAAAGTTTTGTAATAGATCAAGATGATCCTCAACGTAGCCGTAATAAGTCAAAGGTTTATAAATACTAAAAGCAGCCTCTATTTGTTTCTGCATGTATCTAATCCCCACAGCTTAGAAAATAGCAATTATGTGAGTAGTGATTACTGATTCACATGGATATGCTGGTGAAGGGTTGTTGAGATCTGAGCCTGAAGTATGAGATGAAGGGTAAACAGAATAATATTGCTCCAGCCAAACCATAAAATTGATGTTTCATGAAGGTTTTCCAGTAACTACATATATCAGTGACCAAAAATTTTACTCAATCTTATCTCATTATTAAACTTCATCTAAATTTTGTTTATTTCACATCCATCATATACAAAATATCTAACCTGGATATAAAAATATGATTTTCACTTTATATTTTTAAAGAAATTACTTGAAAATTTTGTTGTATGCTATACATTTTTTTTTTCATTTTTGGGTATAAAAACTAAAAACAGAAATTTAGATATGGTTTAAAATTTCTAGAAACTTTTAGCTGCTATAAGTACTTCTAATTAATAAAGACTTTGACCAAATGATTTTTAGAAGATAAAAACCAAAAAAAATAAAATTCTTTTCACTAAATATAATACAATATTATTAAATTTCACATTATATTCATCACTTAGTGTCAGTAATTAAAATTGTTTGGATAAAGTCACATATTAAGTATCATATTACTCAATAGTGGAAGTGAAGATGCACCATTGAAACATAAAAATATGATAAAATCAATCAAATTTTAAGGACTACTAAAATCAGAAAACTATTAAAACAAATTTTACGAAAAATGAAAATTATTTAAATCATTTTATTAAAAATAAAAACATATTACGTAAATAATTATTAAATAACTTTAATTATTTATGTCTAAATATCTAGTGACCAATCTTTTTGGTATTTTAGATTTATTTTTAAATTATTTGTATATTTATAATTTTTGTTTCTACAAAAATTTATACTTTTTCATTTATCATAATTAGTTAAAACTTAAAATTTAACAGTTCACTTATCATAATTAGTTAAAACTTAAATGAAAACCTATTACACAAAAATTAGTTTTTTTTAATCTATATTATATGTAAAAATGATTCTCCATATTTTACAGAGAAAAAAAAAAGAATGTATGATGAGTAGAAAAAAAAGATTAAACATATTTAAATTATGAAGAGAGAAAAAATTTAAAAATATTTTTTAAAAATAATTATACAGAGAATTTTCCACTAGTATATATTAAAAATGAAAAATTTCAAAACTTTTACATGAAAAACAAATTGTACTTAACATATTTTTATTTTAATATAATGTATAAAGATTTAAAACTTGATCTGTGTTATGATGTTTTAAAAAAAAATAAAGAAACAAAATACTTAATATGAAAAACATCGAAGAATTTAATGAAACAGTTATTCTTAAAAACAATTTTGTTTAAAGCGAATATCCAATTTATAATCTCAAAGCAGATGAAAATCAAGAAATTTCTCAAATTATTATTTCTTATTTGTGAGTTTGTTTATATTATTTATTTATATTATCCTTGTACTAAGTTTTTTATACTCAAGAGAATTGATATACCATTAATTATTAAATTATATTTATACATAATCCTTGATTTTATTATTTTTTATTCTATAATAAAAGGTTATATATGGAACACTAATTAGGGATTATGCTTGGTCGAATTTTTTCATAACTCAAAAATGATGTTAAATTCAAAGTCAACTACAAAAATTAAAGAGAAGCAGTAAATAACTTTAGTTTTTTTTTTAGAGTAAAAAAGTTTAAATTTTTCACCTAAAAACTAGAAAAATACTGGACAAAAACTATTCAAGTTTTTTTTTTTTTTACATTTACACTCAAATTTTCACGGTATAAAAAAATGTTTTTAAAATCTTCCTATAATTTAGGATTTAAAAGTTCATTTAAATTTAATAAAATAATTATATTTACAATATAATAATTTTATTAATAATAAAATGTTTATAAAAAATTATAATTATAACTAAACTTGTTATCTTATTTATTATAAATTAAGATTATAAAAATGTAAAATACAACAAAAAAGAATAAAAATCTAATAATAAAAAAAATAAATGAAAATATAATAAAATCAATATTATTTAAAATTGATATGGTTTATATGAGATAAATAAAAAATTTAAAAAAAATATTTTAGCTCTCTTTCTCTAAGTTTACCTCTTGCAAAGAATGAAACCCTTTATATACTAATTTCAAGAACTATTTTTTACATTTTCATAAGCAGAAAGTCTATGACCAAAACTCACAGTTTTAAGCCTTTGAAGGGAAGAAGAAGACTCCACCAAACCTTCCTTGTAAAAACAAACTTTTTTTTTTTAATTCTTTATTTCTCATTATTACTTGATATGATGTCATCGTCAATGATACTGTTAGGTTAGCATAGTTTAAATCACCTTTGTATTGATTTAAAGAAAGTGTAAATATTAACCTATTTTTAAAAAAGGACATCAAAGTAAAACTTTTAATAATAGTATAAAGAAATTGAAAAAATAAATAAATTGGTGGAAAAAAATAGTTGTTAAACCTAAAAAACTTTGTGTGAACAGCAATTTCTGTTGTGGAATGATGAAAATTTCCGGAACGGATAAGAATGCGACAAGTGTTTCCTTAAACGACGAAGGGAATTTGTCAAACGACACAAGTGAAACTATGAACAGAAGCAGTGTCTTTTGAATAGAACAGAACTTGATTAACACTGTGAAAGGAGAGAGAAAGTGTTAAGTAGAGGTATTATCTGCCTCAATCAACAATCATCATCGTTGTCATCATGTCGTGTTGTTTATCTTGCTGCGCGTCTTTGACCTGTGGTCTCTGCACCTCTACTGCATCTTGCATCTCCCAAAAATCCGCTAGAATCGGTTACTGTGGTCTCTTCGGTGTATCTCTCGTCATTTCGTGGATTTTCAGAGAAGTTGGAACACCCCTTTTGGAGAAATTCCCATGTATTTTCATTCTTTTTCTAAATCTTTCAACTTTCATCTTAATTCCCCATTGGGGCTATTTGTGTTCATGAGGGGTCAGGTATGATAAAATGGATCGCTCTTGCTTCATATTAATGCCCTAGCCTTTTTAAGAATTGGAATGCATATTGTTGAGGAGAATTGATAGCAATATACTCTCTCACACAGTCCGTACTATCACCTGAAATTGATTGGAAATCACGTAATTTCTAGGTTCTGCTTCATATTTAGTGAACTCCACTTGTGGATTTGTAGTTCCCAATTAATATTTATCAACTTGTTGTCAGCTATAACAGATGGAGTGTCTCTAAGATTGCAGTTCTGTTTAGGTTGTTTCAACGGTAGAAAATCCTGATTTTGAGAAGATTGCAGAAGATTCATCCACAATCGAAGCGTGGGATGAGTTGGAGAAGGAATATAAGAACCATAATCGAGTCACACGAATTTGGTGAGATGGAGAGTAAGAGACAGAAGGAGTAGAAAGGAGTATCTGAATACGCAATATTGAAAAGATCTTGAGATCATTAACAGATGAAGTTAGATAAATTTGAGAACATAGTGTGCGCGATAGAGTAAGCATATGACTTGTCCGAGCTTACAATAAAAGAGTTGTTTGCTTTTCTTGAAGCCTATAAACACTGAAAAGAAAAAGGAGGAGAGGATTGTGCAATTGCTCCAGAATGAGGAGAAGACTCTCCATTCTCAAGATAATAGAGGACGAGGACAAAGATGAAGACGTAAAGGTCAAGCCTGAGGTGGTCGAGGTAACGAGAAAGAAGAAGGAGTTAAGCAAAATTGCATAACGAGATGGAGAGTATGAGAACGAAGGAATCATAAGGAGTTTTAGAATATGTCTTGCATGTTGAAAATGTGGTGAAACAGTTTAATCAAAATGGAGAGACGTTTTATGCAAAACTAACTATTGAAAATATCTTGAGATCATTAATATATGAATTTGAGAACATAATGTGTGCGATAGAGCAAGTAAAGGACTTGTTTAAGCTTACAATAAGAGAGTTGGTTACTTCTCTTGAAGCCTATGAATATTAAAAGAAGAAAAAGAAGGAGGAGATGATTGTGCAATTGCTCCAGAATGAGGAGAAAACTCTTTATTATCACAATAATAAAGGAAGAGGACGAGGACGTAATGGTCGAGGATGAGGACGTAACAGTCGAGGTGACAAGAAGGAAGAAGGAGTTCAGCAGAATTGGTGAAGTAAAGGACGTGGTCGGAGAGGAGATTGATCAACGAACCACTCAAACATCGAGTGCTTCAAGTGTGGCAAGTATGACCATTATGCGAAGGATTGCTACTCAGACAAATGTTTCAACTGTGGAAAGGTGGGGCATTTTGCTGAAAGAAATGGAAGTTGAAGAAACAATATTGTTGATGATCGATCTTAACATGAAAAATAACAGTGATGAAGATCTTAACACGGGTGTGAGTAATCATATATTGAGGACGTACACCTATTTAGCAAATTGGAGAAATTTGAGAGTGATCATATATCTTTTGGAGATGACTCAATTGTCTCGGTAAAAGACCGAGGTAGTATTTATTTCTTACATAATGATAGCCTAGTTGGGTTAATTCGAAATGTGTTTTATGTTCCAGATCTCAGAAGTAATCTTTTGAGTATGAGACAACTGATGGAGAGAAGACACTTGGTATTCATGAAAGACCAAATACTAAAATTAAAGGACAAGTTTGGGAGGTTGATTGCCTGAGTAGAGATGGGAAAGAATAGAATGCACAAGTTGTAACTGAGAAACATTCGGGAAAGGAGTATGAAATTAAATATAGAGAACACGTTGAAGAAAAATCATTGATTTAGTCACATGCATTTTTGTGGTCTAACCGAGTTGATTCATGATGATTATCATGTAGATGATTCGAATGTCAGAGTTGATGAAATGAGAGAGTGAAATTGGGGAGAATTGGAGGTCGAGTTGCTACACCACCAGTAGTAGCCCGTTTGAAAACCAAGAAAGAAGAAATAACTATATTGGTGAAGTTGAAGAAAAACATGAAGAGTATGGTGCTCGGATTGTCGAGCATGGAGGAGAGTTTGCAAAGGAGTGGTGAGGACATAACTTCAGAAAAATGTCGGATACAGAGAAAAATCTGAGTTAAGACTGAATAGTGGATTCTGAAGTGATCATGTTCGAGCTGTTGTGGACAAAATGATCTGAGTTGTTGTGGACAAGAAGGTCTGAGCTATTGTAGACGAGAAGGTCCAAGCTGTTATTGAAGAGAAGATCCGTGCTATTGATCGAAATGGAACTTGGATGATAATCGAGCTACCGAACAATGTTCGGCCGATTGGTGTAAAGTGGGTATTCAAGAATAAACTTAATGCACAAGGAGAGGTATAAAGTTCGACTGGTTGCAAAGGATTACAAACAGAAAGAAGGGATTGACTTTGATAAGGTGTTTGCCCCGGTAGCGAGAATTGAGATTGTTCGGCTGTGAATCTCATTAGCAGCATAGAACAAATGGTCGATCATGCAGATGGATGTCAAGTCGGTGTTTTTAAATGGTGTGCTCAAGGAGGAGGTGTATGTTGAGCAACCACTTGGATAAGTGAAGAAAGACAATGAGGAAAAGATATTGAGACTAAAGAAGGCTCTTTATGGGCTAAAGCAAGCTCCTCGGATATGGAACGACTGGATAGATACCTATTTTAAGGAGAAAAGGTTTATATGGTGTCCCTGTGAACATGATTTATATGTGAAGAAGAATGAAGTTAATTTGATGTTTGTTGCATTATATGTCGATGATCTCATTTTTATGGGAAATAATTCTGGAATGATTCAAGAATTCAAGTGTGTAATGACAATTGAATTTGAGATGACCGATCTTGGCATAATGAAGTTTTTTTCTTGGCCTGGAAGTAAGACGGAAGTAAGACAAGAGGAGTCGGGGATATCTGTGTCCCAAGAGGCATATGCAAAAGAGATTTTGTACAAGTTTAAGATGACCGATTGTAATTCGGTCTCAACCCCATGGAACCATGGATGAAGTATTCAAAATTCGATGGTGGAGACCGAGTTTCTAGTTGGAAGTCTTCGTTATCTTACAAGTATCAAACCCGATTTGTTACTAAGTGTTGAGATTGTCATTTGCTTCATGGAAAATCCAAGCTACTCTCATTGGAAGGCGTTGAAACAAGTATTGAGGTATATCCGAGGTACACTGTCACTTAGACCGTTGTACACAAAGTCGAACAATTATCGACTTATCGGGTACTCGGATAGTGACTAGTGTGGAGATGTGAATAATCGGAAAAATACATCGGGGTATGTATTCTTCATGGGTAACACGACATTTATGTGGCTTTCGAAGAAGCAACCTATAGTAACATTGTCAACTAGTGAAGCCAAGTACGTAGCAGTATTGTAGAGTGTATGCCATGTAGTGTGGCTCAGAAATTTGCTAAGCTCGGTGGAGGAGAAATAACTCGGGGCAACCGTAATCTGAGTTGATAACAAGTTGGCTATTGAGCTGACAAAGAATCAATCAATTATGAGAGGAGCAAGCATATTGATGTGCGTTTTCACTTTATCCGAGAACATGTAAAGGAAGGGAATGTGGAACTTGTACATGTGGCAAACTGAGATCAAGTTGTTGATATTTTCACGAAACCACTATCTACTGTATTATTCGAGAATTGCAAGAGACTAGTTAAGATGAAGGATGGAAGGAATTTGGGTGCTCGGAACCCAAATGTTTGACGAATTGACAAGTTGGCTAAGTTAGGAGGTCGGAAGTTTGAAGACGGCAAGTCGGGAATTTTTGTTGCAGAGAGAATTAATTGTACAGAGAAGTTTTGTTGGATAAAATTAATAATAAGATAATTAGTCTAAGAGTTTATTGGGATAAAATTAAATAAAAAAGATAATTAGGAGTTTGTTAGAATATTTTGATATTAATGATATTCTGGGTGATTATTATTTGATATTGGGACTTTTTAGAAATTCTTTGTTATCAGATAATTGTGAGAAAGACATTGTAGTTCTAATAAATTTTGATCAATAGAAGAGAATGTGTTAGAAAGAGCTTTTGGAGGATGAGCAGCTAGCAGTAGTACTCCTTCTTTGTTGAGAGGTTAATGTCTTCTTGGGCAGCCTCATTCTCCCCGTGTTTAATTTTATGATTTAAGTTATTAGAGAAAAAAGGTTGACTTTTTTGACGAATGGAAACATGTAGAAAAAGAATAAGTTTATTTTTGGTTTTGATGATATTTCAAGAAGTGCCTTAGTTAATTTAGTTATTTTATTATTGTTTTTGTTGTTGTTCTTGCTATTACTATTATTATAAGGTGGGTTGAGTTATGGCACTCCCCATAAAAGAGCTACATGGTGCGTGGAATGCATTAATGTCTTTCATCCTTGACAACCTTTTTTCTGTGCTTGCTTTTGAATATTTTCCTTCATAACGTGGTGGTGGTATTTTAATTCTTAATATAGGGATAGGTGCATCCGATACCCACACAAAGGAATGGTATCAAGTACAAGCCGTTCTTCGAGTGAGCTTGGGAAATTTCTTGTTCTTTGGTATCCTAGCCCTTATTATGATTGGTGTGAAAGACCAGAATGACAGGCGTGATTCATGGCACCATGGTGGTTGGATTGTAAAAATAGTGGTCTGGCTTTTGCTTGTGGTCCTTGCATTCTTCCTTCCCGATGCCATAATATTGGTATATGGTATGTTTTGTAGGCTTTACTTTTTTGCTGTCAATTCGTAGTGGGCATTGATGATTGAAATAGCAGTCTGACTCTTGAATTATTCAGTTCATGCAGATTATATTTTAAATTGAAAAGTAGTTTTTAAAGATGTCTTCTGGCTATATTTAATGACTCTGAAACTGAATTCCAGATGTTTATGTCCCCATCTCCCCCAACACACCTATCACAATTTTTGTTTAAGTTTCATTCTGATGAATTGTCAATGTAAAATCCTTTGCACAATCAACCAATCTTGACACCTCATTTAATAAGTCTAACTTCATTAACAACCACGTGATATATATCTAATTCGTTACATTATGTGGTGACATATCATTGGATGCAAGTGCAAAACTGTTTTACACTAGTATTACATCTAAATCAAATTCATTTTCTTCTGGGTCATAGCTTTGTTCTTTTGCCCCTATTTTAAACTCTGGGTTTAAGAAAAAGGCTCATGTCATGATCAGCTTAGCATAGAATTGATTTGTTTCAAGGAGAATAACATGGCCTTTGCTAGTATTAGCAAGTGATTGGGTCTAACACAACCCTTAAAGTTTGTTCAAGGGAGGAAGATTGGGCGAGTCCTATAAGGTGATATTTCTCATTAAATGACTAGTGTGAGACATCATAACACTTTTCCACCGTAGTTTTAAATCCTGACAGCGGGACGTAGTGGGTGGCTCCAAAAATGCTATTTTGAAATTTTTTGTCATTTATTTTATTTATAAATTCTAAATAAATTCTAAAAAATGATAAAAATTACTTAAAATTATGACATTCATAATTAACAGTAAAAAGTCATAGGTGTCTTAAACAAAACATAAAAACAAATACAAGTTTCCTATCATCAATTGTCATCTCTAAATCCAAGGCATCTTTAAAATTTTCACCACTATTACAGCTGTAGACTTCATTTTGAAATTAAAATCCCGAAAACATCCCCCAAAAAGCTCCAATTTTTGTCAAGAGGGATTTTTGAAATCGATATATAGTGCCATCATGACTGCTATACACCCCTCTATTTGGCCCTTCACGGCCACTACACAAACTGTTCTTCTACTTCAAACCCTGTCCACACCACTACTCCACTACTCCACTATACCAGTGCTATTTAAGAGCTTGCTTGCCCTTATGCCTAAAGACTGGCCATTGGCAGATGGCACAACACCAAGACTGGTTAGACTCTGAAATTACATTAAAAATGGATTTAGTCTAACTCAACCCCAAAAGCTAGCTCAAGAGGGGAGGATTGACCAAGGATTTTGAGTAGTATTTTGGCGAATGTGAGACATCTTAATAACTAATGTTCTCATTTTAAGGTTTTACTATTGGATGTATGATATCTCAGGTTAATATATCAAAAGGAATCTGTTTTGGTAAAGTTCTTCATCTTCGTTTTAGTTTGGTATATTTTGCTCTTTGATTGCGTACTGTACCTATATTGAACTGTATGGGAGGTCTGATTTCTGAATGGGATTCCCTTTTCAGGACCTTTTTTCCCCAGTGGAACTTAAAACCTAAGTTTAAAATTGACATGAGCATATCTGTAATATTTACAGGATTCATAGCAAAATTTGGGGCTGGCCTGTTTTTATTGATTCAAGTGATAATTTTACTGGACTTTACTCACTCTTGGAATGATGCATGGGTTGAGAAAGATGAACAAAAATGGTATGCAGAATTTCTTTCCCTATAATTTTTATTTTTCCATTGTTCTAATAATTTTTGTTGTTTAGGTATATTGCTTTACTTGCTGTATCAGTCGGATGCTACATTGCAGCATTTACAGTGTCAGGAATCCTTTTCATTTGGTTCAACCCTTCTGGATATGATTGTAGCATCAATATCTTTTTCCTTGTTATGACCATGATTCTTGCTTTTGTGTTTGCGATTATCGCCTTACATCCTCAGGTAAAGACTAGAAATGATTTTAGTAATTGAAATTTAATATTGCAATTATTAATTTTCTGAATGAGTTGTTAATTGACAATTAGAAAACAATCTAATTTGGAAGATGTAGCTTAATGTTGACGAGGAAATGTCATGAAAGAAACATCATCTAGAAGATAATTTTTTTAATGAATGCCACATATCTTTCTGTTTGATGGACGCATGTCTTATTTACATGTATATGTTGTTTTGTGCTTACTATCTTGATATATCAAACTAGTTAATCCTCAACCTAGTAGCTGTTATACCTGCTTCTTTTCTGGTAATATTTATTTGTAGGAGTGATTGTAAAGTTAAAATTCAACATTCTCCTCCCCAGCCCTCTTTTTCCTTTCAAATAAAATTCTCTGGAATTAGATTTTTATGTAAAATTGGAAAATAGCAGATATAATCAGTTTTGGTCAGGAATGTTACCTGCAGATAATACATTGTTAACATATCTATTTTAATGAAACATTTGCTACCATATTATTATTCACCACTATTAAAAAAAAATTCTTTCTTTCTCTCTCCTCTAATATGATTGTCTGGAAAGTAGGTTGAGAATGTTATCTTCTTTAAGGATGGTAGCATACTCTTTATTACTTCTCTTAGTTTTTATTTGTCTATCCTCTAAATCTAATATTTTTCCATTTTGATGGAGGGGGCTAGTATATACCCATTATTATTGAGTTAGGTTAGGTGTGTGTCAGTGTGGGAGATTGGTTGGGTGGGCTGAGATAATGAGGTAAGAAAATTACTTTGAATAATGCCCTTCTATTTTCCCAATTTTATTTGGTGCCTAGGGAATTATATTTGATAGGTATGCAAGAACTGTGGTCCTTGGTTTCATCCATATGCATTTGTGTATTAATTTAATTTTTTTTATTGAAAGACTGAATAATAGCCTGAGTGCAAAAACAGGTGAATGGAAGCTTGTTGCCTGCATCTGTGATTTCCCTTTACTGTGCGTATGTGTGCTACACGGGTCTTTCTAGTGAACCTCGTGACTATGAATGCAATGGTCTCAACAAATCCAGAGCTGTTAGCACAAGTACACTCATTCTTGGCATGCTAACAACAGTGCTATCAGTGCTGTATTCGGCCCTTCGTGCTGGATCTTCAAAGACATTCTTATCACCACCATCATCACCTAAATTGGGTAATAAAAGATGTTTGGAATCCTTTATGATCTCTTACCTTATGATGTCCGTGTTGTGTTTTTTGAATTCTGCATTTGATTTAACTTTTGAAAATACTCTTTCCTCTCCACCAATGTTCTAAGAGTTTCTGGAAAAAACCGATTATTCTGTCCGAAAAAAGCTCTCCCAAATGCAAAAATTTATCCTCTTTGGGTATCATATAGCTGCCAGACCTGGACTGTAAAAAAAACTGGGATCCAGTCCTCTGTTAACCAATATTTGACCTTATCAACTTCAGAAACTTGTCTCTGATATGATTGAATTGTTTTCTTAAAAATAACATTCTCTCTTAAAACATCACCGGTGTGTGTTTCAGAGGATAGAAATCATCCAATATGGATAAAACATATTAGATGGTAATCAGAGGAATAGAGGGATAGAATTCATTGGTATAATAGGCGGGTGGAGACTTAAAGTCATCCAAGGAAACATATTGATTGATAAAAAATTATCAAAGAGATACAAAAGGTCTTATTTATAGAGTTTATTGAACTAAATTCTCTAGCTTTCTTGAACAAAATTTTAACTAATTGAGTGTAACCACCTCTCACATATTTGAGTCCAAATAAACTCTTTTACCCTGCTTATTCTAAAATTCAAGCATTTCTCTCCATAAATCATATGGAAAAGTTGAGTCGATAAAAGATTATGGATTCCTGGTTATGTCTCATTCTGCATGTTACATATTTCAGGTGGGAACAAACCTCTACTTGAAGAAGAAGTAGAAGAAGGAAATGCAAAGAAGGAGGAAAAGGAAGCACAACCAGTTAGCTACTCGTACTCATTCTTCCACCTAATATTTGCCCTGGCTAGCATGTACTCAGCCATGCTTCTCTCTGGATGGACCAGCACATCGGAGACATCAGAACTCATAGATGTTGGTTGGACCTCAGTTTGGGTGCGAATGGGCACGGAGTGGGTCACTGCTGGATTGTATATCTGGACTCTCACGGCTCCTTTGCTCTTCCCTGATCGTGAATTTGCATAGTTTTCTCATGGTCAATTACTATACTTCATCACATTCTTGTTGGTTGGTGTTTCGGTATTATAAGTTATGACCTTCTGTGTCTACATGTTGGAATATTCTGTGTTGCTCTCAATACATAATATATGTATAGATTCACCCCTTCACTTGATGGACTAAATGCATAATAATACTCTGGTGTCCATAGTTTTAGTTTATTGCATTTTTCAAAGTTTACCTTTTTGTTTAATCATATACACTGCTGAATCCAAATCCGTGAATATAAAATAACGTGGTAGTTGATGGTCGAGCACATACTGTACCGTTTTCCTTTCTAAACTGAAGTCCACCATGTTTTATGTATATGATTTACTTGCCGACACCTCGTGGTCCTCCCCAAGATGTCAGCAGTAGCAACTTACAAATGTTGTTTGTCGTCGATGGCAAAAACTATCAGAAAGACCAAAAATCATGGCACCACCAATAAATGTTTTACATTCTTTTTTCTTTAAACAATTGAATGAATCTTTTCAAAATAAATCTAATCGAACTAAGAAATATCATGTCCGACACATTAATATTCGAGCAAAATATCTTGCCTCGACAACATTCACTCGTGAGACTATGGTAGTCCTTTGGTCAAGTCTCATTTAGTATTAAACAAAATTGACACGGCACTGCACGTTAAATGATCTCATTTTGGTTTTCATGATCATCTTCATCTCTAGGCACCAAGATTATTTCATCGTTAAGAGTTGTTTTATTTTGCAACGTTGATAAGAACTTTTTTTCCACTTATCTTTTAGTAAGTTTTATATAAACAATTATAAACTTTTAAAATTTTAATAAGGATGATGTTAACGTGAATTTTAAAAAATTCATATAATGAACGGAAAGAGCCAGCCTTAAAATACAGTAGATTCCTTCATTTAATAGTATTGAAAATAAAAACCTGTAAATTGTTATCATAACTGGCGAGAAGCGCCTTTGTTACCCCTATTTATGAAGGCCATTGACAAAAAGTATAAATATTTCTTAAAAGATCCTCGTTCATGTTCTTGTCTCTTCTAAATAAATTAAGTGAAATCTTTTATTACTTCTATTCATGTAGGTCCTTAACTTTAAAATAAAGCATTTTATTGTAGTTGATGTCATATGTTTTTGTCTAGAAGTAGTGAAACAAGGTATAAACGTATTTTTATTTTATACAATTTTGATATATTTTTAGAAATCAGGCGTATTCTCTTTATGAAAGATAATTTTGTTTGATGCGATTATTATCAACGATAAAAGAATGAATGTAGAATGTATTTCATGTAATTGCATGTTAAAATTATTGGTTAAAGAGATCATTGTTCATTGGATATTTTATGAATATGAGAAACAGATAATTAATTGAAAATTATACGTATACATTTAACTAATAATTTATAACCATATAATAATGTTATAATCATATGAAAATGTTATTTTGAAATTTTAGAAAATTTAATATTGAAATTTATGTCTGATTTATATACATTATCCGCTCCTTAATGTAATGAATTAAAGTTTTAATTAATAAAAATAATTTGGAGTTGGTTGGAGAAATAAAATAAAAAAAAATGGGAAAAAAGAAGAAGAAGTGTGTTGGGTTCGGGGTAAAGAGGAAGATGAAGACGAAGACGAAGATGGTGCAAGAGGAAGAAGAGGGGGTGGGATTGAGGAGGAGCAGAGGGATGATGGTTCAGCGGAATGTGAATAACAGCAACCATAGCCACAACCATAACCATAATCACAACAATGTGTGCAACTGCAAGCACTCTCCCTCCGCCACCTTGGACCTTCTCATTCTCCTCCTCGTCCTCTTTTCGGGGGCATTCCTCCTCTCTTCCTATTTCTCATACATCTTCCACTCCCTCTCCCTCCTCCTCCCCTCCCTCCCTCTCTCCTACCTCCTCCCCTTCTTCCTCTTCCTCGCCCTCTCTCTAGCTGCCGCCGACTTCTGCTGTGGCCCCCGATCCCGCCGCTGTCAGCGCTCCGGGTGTAAGGGCCTCAAAAAGGCCATGGAGTTCGATTTGCAGATTCACCGCTTCGGCTCGGCTCCCTTCCCCGATGCCTCCGCCGAAATCGACCGCCTCCCCTGGAAGGGCGGCACCGAGGCCAACCCCGATTACGAGGGCCTCCGCTCCGAACTCCGCAAGATGGCTCCTCCTAACGGCCGCGCCCTCTTGCTCTTCCGGGCGCCCTGTGGCTGCCCTGTCGCCAAACTCGAGGCCTCCGGTCCCAAAAAGGGCAAACGCCATAAGAGGTTCGTTTCTTCCTTTCTCTTCTTTTCCCTCTGTGACCACTTTGTTATGTAATTTTAGATCGAGTTGCCGATCTGTTTTGTTTTACTGGTTTCGAAATTATATTAAATCATGTAGGTTAGTGTGGATGTAGGTTAGTGCGGTGAATACTGTTTGTTTGTTGGTTTTGTGTTTCGGATTCAGTGTAGGCGAGTTTGAGTTTCTTTTTGTTCCTATTTTCGATTTGCTTTTACGTTGTATGTATATACGTACTTATCTTTTTCTGCCGATGTAGTAGGCTGTTTAAGTCTTCTAATATATTTTTTCTTGAAGTAATGGATTCTTCGATGTAGTAGGCTGTTTAAGTCTTTTAATAGATTTTTTTTTCTTGAAGTAATGGATTCCTCGAGTACTTGATGTTCTGATTTGGGGATATCTGTGTGCCTTATGAGGATTTAAGTGGAAGATCTGGGGTTCTTAGAATTCGCTGTATAGGGAGTAGAGTTCAACTTTCTCCTAGAGTGTCTTTGACTCTCTTTTTTTTTTCACCTTTTATCGTTGGCACTCAGTATTGACATTAACATTGTTCGAGATTGTACGAGATGTGGCCTATTTGATTGACTTCATTGTATTGTTTATTTTTTGTTGTACGCAATTAGGCTGAATATTTTGTAGAATTATATTATTCTTTCCCTAATTGTGAGAAAAAGAGAGAAACGCATTCTCTCTATATGATAAGGCTTGGTACCATAGCTTCTTTAGTTCAGTTTACCTTCCCAGCCTCTGTCATCAACAGTTCTTATGGTCATTGGGTGTCCCAAATGACACCAGGATCGTATCATGTCTTTTTGTCTGGCCATCCCCCAATGCGAGTCTTATGCGCCACCATCTCACACTCACATGCATACTGGTTTGTAAGTGACTCTTTTTTATTTTGTTCTAGTTTGGGCTTTGGTTCTCTGTCGAAGGGCTCTCTCTTTGTGCCCTAATCATCTATTTTTGTGATTGTTTCTGTGGGGGCTTGGTGTTGGCTCTGTTGTTTGATGCTGTTTGGCTCCTGTCCGGAGTGATTGTTGCTATCTGGTCCTCAAAAATGCGTTTCTCTATCATTACTCATGTCTTCTACATCAAATGCTAGGTCCAGTGATTCTTTCTGGATCCTCAAGTGAGGGTCTGGTGTGAGGTGTCCTTTGTCTTTTTCTGCAACCTTATTTTATCGGAAAAACTTCTAAGAAATACTTGATCTCCGGTTATCAATATTTTGGTTTCATGGTACAAAGACATTATGATTATCTAATGAAGAAATCAGAGGAATTGATAAAAATGTCTGCGAAGATTCTGAACAAGCAAACAGTCAACTTGTCATACTCCTATGGATATCCAATGAATCACTATTGTTGCTATGCCACATGCTATGTGACATGGAAAAAAGGCTTGAAGCATTTATATCCATTGGATTTATGATGTTCAGAACCTGTCCACTCTCAAGATGACTGATGATGACCTTTTATCATGTCTTAGTAGAATTATTACTAGTGAACAACCAGCAAGGATGGTGGCTAAACTCAGTAGTGTTTGCATGATCTATGTTCTTCATCGTCTTCATAAGGATTAAGAATCTCTCTGGAACCAAATGCGGACAGCCCCTAATATTCAGTTTGGCTGGGGATTTTACTGATTGTCTATAGGCAAGACTAGGAATTAGTTCAAACTTCATTGATAGCTGCTGAATCTTCAACTTTAGTCTCTTCCTTCACAAGGCATGGTTGTGAAGGACATGGTCATCTCATCATGGTCCTGGAGGCCATAATGCTTAACATATTCGATGCATGTACTTTAAGCTTTCTTGTCATACCCTATATGATGTTTACTCTGCTTGGTTTGGGAGATTTAGTGCAGTTATTAGGAGTTTGGTATAATTCATAGTGAAGTAGACCACTGTTCTCTACAAATGTTGATATGACCAGTGTCTTTATTTGGTTGTTTAAGCTGATGAAGTTATCATTATTGAACGCTGGGATGGTTGTAGTATTTTTTGAAATTAAGGTAAATAAGTCAAGCATTATTGTAAGCCAATTGACATTTCTATAGACCCAAATCTGAATCTACTGCTGGGGGATATTGGAGGATGATTGGGAACTGATTAATTAACCATGACAAGGCCAGATATCTTGTTTGTTGTAAGTGTTGTTATTTAGTTCTGTAGTTCCCATTATCATAATCATTGGGATGTTGTGGTAGAAATCTGAGATATATCAAGGGATCCCTTGAAAGAGGTTTAGTATATGTAGATGGAGGTCATTTTACTGTTGTTGCATACACAAATGCAGATTGGACTAGTTGTCCAACTAATAGACAATCTACTTTTGGTTATTATGTTCTAATTTGAAGTAATCTCATTTCCTAAAAGAGTAAAATCCAGAATGTTCTTGTTAGGTCTAGTGCACAGATGCATGGTAGTTAGTGTTGCACGATATGTGATACCATACTATTGATCCAATATGATTTAGAAGCTTGGCCATGCAAATAGTGATGAATATGGGTTTCGAATTTGAAATGTATATTGTATGCCACGAATTGCTCAAGTATCACATGAATTGCGATATCCTATGTTGTATCGGTACTTCAATTTGCTCCATGTACCCACATTTGATACCGATCATCTAGGATACTTCACTTAATGAATATCAATAAAGTATCCAAACCTATGAATCACCAATATCTTTATGTGTTGCACGTATGCAATACCAATACTTTTTCAGTACTTCATCAACATGTTGTTTAAGTGTCCAAGCTTTTAAAGTGTTTATATCCAATACAACAAAAAATATATATGTATGTGTAATATAGAAACATAAAAATATGGTCTCTTCATAAACCAAAGAGGGAGATTGTTTTCTTTATGAATTATTTTAGACAAATTAATGAGATTGATTGTTTTATTTTTATGTGTAAAAATAGAAAGTCATTTAAGATAACAATGATTAATATTTTTTTTATTTTTGTAATGTCTAAGAAATGTGATTTTAATTTGGATTTGTAGAATTGCAATTATATATTTATTATTGTTTATGAAATTTTATAATTTTGAAATATGTATCTTGCACGCATCATATCCTGAAATTTTAATAATAACCAATAACCTTATCAGATATGTATATCCTATCTGTGAATTATAGGCGACCTCCAAGTGAGTCCTACGATTCTGGCACAGCAGACTATTGCATTGTGGGTTTCAATGGAAATGCAGGTGTGACATGACGATGTTAAAAAGTCTGTGACTAAGGCAATCGCAGTTGCCTTACGCATTGAGGTTTGAACCACATCCTAGGCATTGCATGCTCCTCAAGGGTGTTTTGATTAGTTGCAGACAATGAATCAGCTAGTGGGTTAGGGATAGAAGATGATGTTTAGGGTTCAGGAACAAAGGATTAAAAAGAAAACCAGTCAGGTATGGGATTTGGGTATGAGGCTCTGCTACCTTCAAAATTTACATGGTATTTAAAAAAAATAAAAATAATGTGTGGAAGGTTAAGTGTCTCACGAGACTTTTAAAACTCCTATTGTGTTTGCTACATTTTTTTTGTTTATTCTAAATAGTTAATTGGGTTGTAATTTTAAACTTAAAAGCCCAACATATATATCTTGCAGTGTTTCTTATAAGATACCAAGAGTTAGAATTATGTTAATACAAAAACATGAGATATGAAAACAAATATATATTAACATAATTCTAACTCTAGGCTATACCATCACGAATTTTACAATTCACTATTCGAGAAATAGGCATTCTGATTCATACTTTGTATCCCGATTGAATTTCCTTGCAAAAATATGATATCGAGCCATGTCCATTATCACATCTGAACTCATTTGGTTGGAGCAACTTATCTCAGAGTGATTATTTTGTAAGGTTGGCACCACAGCTCTCATTTGTTGTGATCAGCATGCAATCTAGCACATTGCTTCAATCCTGTTTCTTGTGGGCAATATAGCATTTTGAGATTGAGTGTCATTTTACTTCTGACAAGATTATTTAGGGGAGATGACTAATTCATTGGTTGGTTCTAATGATGAACTAGTTGACACATTCACTAGTTCTTGTCGTGGATTGAGGATGGCCATTACATATGTAGTAAGCTAGAATGCATATGATTTATACGCATGAACTTAGTGGGGAGTGTTGAAATTATAATAAGGTTCTATTGAGATCTTTCAAGATATAGGCTGAAATTGCGTTAGCATGTTCGATTGTAATTGTTTCCTTTTATTTGCAGTACATAATTAGGTTAAATACCCTGTAGATCTTGTAATATTATTCCCTAATTATTGGAAATCCCTTGTACACTAAAGTATTTTTATATATTGATTGGTAGGAGACTCTCCCAATCTTTGTCCCTAATTTCTGGTTTAGTCTTTGGAATGTGGTGGTCTGTAGCTGAACAATTCATTCATTTTGTTGAAACCATTCAAGTTTGTGGCTTTCTTATTTTGTCTTCTGTCTATTCACAATTATAAATTATAATTTTTTTGTGAATTGTGATTTTGTTGAGGTTTGCTGTACAATATTAATATATTAAATCTTTTTGAAAAAATGTTTTCTTTTGAAAGATTTTTTTTTTCAAAATTTATATATCGAGTAATAGGAATTTTGTTATTTTATTATTGTAATTTTTTAATTTTTCTTCAGTATGAAGTTAAAATGTTGAATTATTAGTGTTACAAGTATTATTGTTTCACGTATGTATGCCAAGTCAATTATAGATTTTTAATATTTTTTATATTATGGAAACTCATAACTTACTAGTGTACAGGTCAAATTTAAGGAGGCTTATATATGTCAAGTCAATATAGGTTTTAATATATTTTTTTATATTATGTAAACTCGTAACTCTTACAAGTTCACTAGTTTAGAGAGGTTTCACTCAAATTTAACAATCCTAGCGGTAGTTTGCTTGAAGTTGTGCAAAATTTGTCATAAAAGAGTCTTCAACTGAACCAAATCTCACCTAGTGAGATAAGGTTTTTTTGTTGTTGTATTATTGTTTTATACATGAGGGATGCTAAGAACACTCCCTTTATTACCGATTGGAATTTATTCGAGAAAAAATGGTAGGTCCTTCTTTAAAATTAGGAGAGGGGCTCATTAAAGAAAAAATAAATAAAATTCACTAAAATTTATGATTATCAATAAATTTTAGCCAACAGTAGGATGCGTCCAGAGTCTTGTTATCACTCTCTTTATTTTCTAAAGATTAGGATCTCATATCGGTCAGCTTCATTTCATCTTCCAATTCAATCTTCGGTGACCCTTTACTGGTCATAGGTCAGATTGCAATTATGTCAACAATAATAGAAGCAAGTAGTGGTACACTTTGGCTTTTAGTTCTCCTGGATTGTGTTCAATAACGAACTACTTTTCTGTGTTTATAATGCCCAACATAACGTTTTAGCTAAATAATTGTTCAATATAATCCGATAGTCTAAATTATATATGTAAATAATTATTTGTGTAGTGTGTATTACTTTATCAGTAGGTTGACTAATATGCCTATTGGTTGTGAAAACTTTGGAAATGGGCCTTGCCTGTTTGTAGCATAGGTGGATGCCTTATAGAGGGCTATTTTACATGACCTATGGAAGAAGTTGGGGCTTTGAGACATCTATATGAAATGCTACTCTGGTTTCCTATAGGCCTGTTTTTGTCTCTGCTATTACCTTCCCCAGTTGGAAATGTTGTAAAATAGAACGTAAACAACTTCTGGAATTTTGATGTGATTGTCTCACAATTTTATATCTTTACACTAATTAACATTCAAATTATTGGCGACACTAGATACTTGGTACAAAAGCATGAAGCCTCAACTGTGTTTTGTATGTTCAGTAATCATTGTTTTATGAATTGGTAAAAGCATATAATAAATTTCTACCTGTTGTGCTTGTGTAACTGACTACCATCTTGTCCTGCATTTGACTATGAAGTTTGTTGGTAAATTATTCTTTGAAATTGTCTGAAGTGTTATTGTTTTCTAAACTTTACTGTTTCAATTCTGATGTTATCCCACTAAATCTGAAGTTCTGAACATCTTAAATTTTTATCTGTTCCAGAAATTACTGGGCATCCCCTAAGGTAGCATTTGGCTAACTTTTTGTTTTATTTTCTCCTTAAAAGGACAGGCTGATTATAACTCCAAAGAAACACTAAAATATAAAGACACCTTTTCCCTTAATGAAGAAAAGGCTAAAAGGCAGAGCTTCCACAAAAGCCAATTGGAGGAATTTATGCATTTAAGGGGTTAAAGAAATAGTTGGGCCAAATGTTTCCTAGTTGAATTGCATACTTGAAGTTTTGTTTGATGAACTTGAAAAACTTTTTGACTGGTAAATCTGAACTTTTGGTTTTGATGATTTGAGCAGGACCCAACCCAGTGCGACTCTTAATGGTGGAGATCATCGTTGATTAACTGATGTTTTCATTGCTGGCATCTCAGATCATTCCTATGGTCTCTTTTATTCACTGGAAAACTCTTGATCAGAACCATTCTTTTAAGAAAGAAAAATATCAATCTGGTCTTAACAATCCTTCCTTATATATCTGCACAATCCAGTAATCTATATAAACTTTGGAAGGATCGTACAGGATTAACTGCAATAAATATGTGATTCATCATCGTTGACCCATTTCATTAATTGTAGATGTCCTAACATTGCTGACTCCATTGTTTCTTAAATTATTACACCTCAGCCCTTCGAAAATATACATTATGAATTGAAATGGACATTCAAGCCATTCATGGACTAGTTCATGGGGTGAATAACGTGATTGTACCAAATGTAGACTTTTATGTTTCATTACACCTTTGAAGCTGCTAAATCCGTTATTGGATCCTCTTCCGTGCACAAAACCGTATGTTTTTAATTTCCAATAGCTTATTTCCTTATTTATTAATGAGAAAGCCCTATCTATAAATATGTCTTCTCCTATTGAGTGAACTGTTTGTGGATCTAAATTTTTAAAATTTACATTATCTTTGCTAATGTATTTTATAATTAGTGTTTTAGAGGATCGCTAGGACTGATTTAATTAATGCATAATAATCACTAAATAGAAAAGTTTGTCTAAAATATTTCTTTTTCATTTTGTAAATTAAGTGAATACAAGTATATTCATTCATGAGTTGAATGCATAACTTTTGTCATGGTTTTACCTTTTAGATTTTGGTCAAAGAAATTTTGTTGAGCCTGCTATTAGTTTTAAGTATATCAAGGTAAATTAATTTTTAACCAATTATTTGTTGGTTAAAATAAGTAAATTTTAGCTGAGACATGAAAAAAAAGGTGATAAAACTCCGTAAAGAGAGGTATTTGCTTATTTTACTTTGAATCTGTTTATTTTTTTTTTTTTAACTCTTGATCTCCCTATGGATAATGTTTTTTTGTTATAGCAATATGTAATGTTTGAACATTCAAATCTTGAAAAAAAAAATAAGGTTTAATTATTTTATAAGATTCATGTTTCATTATATTTTTAAATAACTTTTTGTAAAATTTTAAGTACATATATTATTTAATATTAGTTATAATTATAATTTATTTAATTTAATCTTACAAAATCGTTTAATATAATAAAGATTATATTATTATTTGATAACCAGTGGTTAAGATTTATGTTATTAACCATTGTACCAATAATTTTATAATGGTTCTAATATCATCTTGAAAATAATATCTAATTTAATCTTACAAAATATTCTCTGTATATTATTATTATATTGTTAATATGAGATTTTTCAATATATAAAAACTAATTTATTTTTACAATTATCAAATAAAATTATATAATTTGCTAAATTTTAAATAACTTTTACAATTAATAAGAATTAACAGAATCTGATTTTGGGACCTAAGGATTTATTTAAAAATAAATAAATCTTTAGAGACTTTTTTTTGTTTTAAGAACTTTTAAACCATAATAAAACTTGGTTAACAAAATGAAAACAATGCCTAAATGTTTTTTTTAGTTTCAGTTGAATAATTTTTTTTAGTTTCAGTTGAATACCTTTTTTGTAGTTTTTAAAATTTAAAAATGACCTTCTTAGTTTTTTTATTTTAACCTCATAGTGAGGCACTAAAATGTTTTAAAACTATAAACTAAAAGTGAGTTTTATTTTCTAAATTAATAGACTGAAAAAATTAATTTAAGGAAAAAAAAAAATTAGCCTATATTTGAGAAGAAATATTTAATCCTGAAAAGGAACTAGAATTTCTCCAGGGTGCTTAGATGTGTAGAATAGATTACATGAATTGTGAAAATCTGAACAGCAGAAAAAGATCGAATTTTGAGTCTAATGGTCGCTTCTCATGTTGGTGTTCATCTCTGCGAGTCTCAGACTCAAAACCTTACCCCGACCTCTACCCTTTCCTCTTTCAATTGAACTTCCATTGCCAAACTCAATTCTAAGATCAAGATGGGTTTCCATTTCCACTTCCACCAAAGCCCCTCCACACGTGCAAGACCAACAACACTTCATTCGCATTTTCTGCAATGCTAGGCTTCACCAGAACCACTACGAGTGCGAACTTGCATTGGTTTCCGCACTCAAATACTGTTCTTCCTCCTCCCAGGGCCGCCAACTCCATTCTCTGGCTTTGAAACTCGGACTCCACTCCAACACTTTCATTCAAAACAGCTTGATCAACATGTACGCAAAACGATCTTCCATTAATGATGCCCAATTTCTGTTTGATTCCTGTCCCACGTTGGATCCTGTTTCCTGTAACATTATGGTATGTGGATATCTCAAAGCTGGTCAGTTGGACAATGCGCGCAAACTGTTTGACATAATGCCTGGCAGAGGTTGTGTCTCCTACACTACCATGATAATGGGTCTTGTCCAAAATGTCTGCTTTCGAGAAGCTCTTGCGGTTTTCAAGGACATGCGGTCTGATGGGGTGGTTCCTAATGATTTGACTCTGGTGAATGTGATATATGCTTGCGCACATTTTGGTGAAATTTTGAACTGTGGAATGATTCATGCGTTGGCTATTAAGTTGTTTGTTGAGGGGTTGGTTCTTGTTTCGACGAATTTGATGCGTGCGTACTGTCTTTGTTCCGGTGTAGGGGAAGCAAGAAGGTTGTTTGACAAGATGTCTGAAGTTAATGTGGTCTCCTGGAATGTTATGTTAAATGGGTATGCAAAGGAAGGCCTTGTCGACATGGCCAGGGAGTTGTTTGAGAGAATTCCTGATAAGGATATCATTTCTTGGGGCACAATGATTGATGGTTATATCCTAATGAATTGTTTGCATGAGGCTTTGGTGATGCATCGTGCAATGCTACGAACTGGGCTTGCACCTAACGAAGTCCTGATTGTGAATTTGGTTTCAGCATGTGGTCGTTTCAATGCAATTGGTGATGGTCGGCAACTGCATGGAATAGTTGTTAAGAAAGGTTTTGACTGTTGCAATTTTATACAGACAACCATCATCCATTTTTATGCAGCTTGTGGGATGATGGACCTTGCTTGTTTGCAATTTGAAGTGGGTTTAAAGGATCACCTAGAATCATGGAATGCTCTTGTTTCTGGATTCATAAAAAATGGAATGATGGACTCAGCAAGGAAAATCTTTGATGAAATGCCTGAAAGAGATGTGTTTTCATGGAGTACCATGATTTCTTGCTACGCACAAACTGAGCAGTCTAGGATTGCTCTTGAACTCTTCCATAAAATGGTAGCCAGTGGAATCAAACCAAATGAAGTTACCATGGTGAGTGTACTCTCTGCAATTGCCACCTTAGGCACATTGAAGGAAGGAAGATGGGCCCACGAATACATACGTAATGAATCCATTCCATTGAATGACAATTTACGTGCAGCTCTAATTGATATGTATGCTAAATGTGGGAGCATCAACAGTGCCTTACAATTTTTCAATCAGATTCGAGACAAAACCTCTTCTGTGTCCCCCTGGAACGCAATTATATGTGGGTTAGCCTCACATGGATATGCAAGTATGTGCCTAGAGGTTTTCTCTGATATGCAGAGGTCTAATATTAAACCCAATCCAATTACATTTATAGGAGTCCTTAGTGCTTGTTGTCATGCTGGGCTGGTGGAGCCTGGGCGAAGAATATTTACAATCATGAAGAGTGTATATAATGTGGAACCAGATATCAAGCATTATGGTTGTATGATTGATCTTTTGGGCAGAGCCGGGCTATTAGAAGAGGCTGAGGAGATGATAAGGAGCATGCCAATGAAGGCTGACATTGTGATATGGGGAACTTTATTAGCGGCATGTAGAACCCATGGAAATGTCCATATAGGAGAGATAGCTGCGGAGGGTTTGGCAGGGTTGGCACCATCTCACGGAGGAGGTAAAGTTCTCCTATCAAACATATATGCAGATGCAGGAAGGTGGGAGGATGTATCATTGGTTAGAAGAGTCATGCAGAATCAGAGAATGGAGAGAATGCCTGGATGCAGTGGCGTTGTTAGATAGGTAAAGGAGTTCTAATTCTCATAGATTAATTTGTTAATTTTAAAGATAAAGATGCTGATCTTTTGAAAGAAACGTTTTTCGAGAATCATCTTGCATTGTGATTTTGTAAATTGTTCTCAAAAATTCCTTACTAATTGTGCTTTAATCATACTATTATTTATCATATATGATATTCGAAATAACTTTTTTGCATAGCGGAAATAAGGGAATACCTGTTCTACACATCTGCTACTGGCAATACAGACTGGTCGTGGTTATGGATAGAAATCGAGGAGGATCCTGATTCAATTTAATTCATTAGATATGGGAAACTAATAGAAATGTTATTAACGGTCAAGGATATCTTCAATTTATATGTAATACATAGGTCTTGTTATTTATGATCTACATTTTAATATATCTGTTAATATCATAGGTAGAGTTTATGAATGCTATTTCTGCTGTTTGATAACTTTTTGTTTCTTTTGATATGTTCGGAGCCATGAAGTTTGAATAGATATAAGTGAAACATGATTTGTCCTCTGTAAAATTACCATTGGACATTAGGTTTCAATCCCTTTAGATCATGAAATAATTCTTTCATGCTGTTTAATGATATTATTAATCAAAGACTTGTTTAATCTACAGCCAACACGCAAGCTCAAATTTGAAGGGGTAGATCTGAATATATCTACGATTTAAACTTCAAGTTCCTGCATATCCTGTGCATATGACAGAAGTAGTTTGTATTACAATTTCCGTAGAGTAGACGAGGCAGCGTGCAACAATACTTAAATATCAGTTACACCCTTTTAGATAAGGTTAAAGATTAGAGATGATTAACGATTAATGAAATAAGCTGTTACAATAGTTGTCAAGGGTACAAGCTTTAGTAGTTTAATTATGTTGAAATTTAATGAGTGAGGAAGAATGTGAATTTGGACGCAGAGCTTGCTTGTTAGCATGTTACATGTGTGCAATAGAAGATAAATGTCTGGAAACATGACTTTGTTGACAAGTGCATGAAAACAAAAATATGGATTTCATTCGTCCTAAAACATCTCTCTTGTATGGTTTCTTGTTAGCAATGTTGTTATGGTACTCTTTTTTCTTCTGCAGAAAAAAAAAATTGTTAGAGATTTCGAACCAGCTAATAACACGACTATAATGAAGAATGGAAGTGGAAGACAATTCTCACTTCTAAGTTAACCTTTTACGTTGAGTTCAATGTAACCTCAAAATCTAATGACATTAGAAAATATTTTAGCAATTGTTGTTGAGTTATCAAATCATATATATAATCATGTTATATATATTTCATTAATGCAGTTTGAAATCTTAACATTCATAATTTTTATCAACTAATGTTCAATTTTTTATATTCAAGTTAAATGCATAGTTATCTTACATGATATAATTGGAACATATTAATTTTTTTGGATAAATATATATAAAGGGAAGTGAGATCTACTTACTTAAAGATATAAAAATTTAAAGATTTATTTTTTACCTTTATATATTTCTTTATTTCTATTCCATTTGCACATGCATCCTAACAAAAAATGATACTTTTCTTTTTGCTTCTATTTACTGGGATCTACCCTTTTTGGAAGAAAACAAAGTTCTGTTTCATGGCAACATAATTTATATAGAAAATTCTATGAACTATCATATACCTTTTTAAGATCAACTATGTATATAACCATTTAAATGAAAAGTACCACAAAGTATGGTATTTTCTTGAAAGTGTAATACGAATATATGTTATTTCAAACCTGTTTGTCTCTCCCACTCAAACTTTAATTTCCTAACTTGATTGTTTGTAAGTGTTTAGAGTTATAAGTTGTTTATATTTTTTTATCAATTAATTAACGTATATATTTCCTCTGTGGTGCATGGATTGAAAAAGATGATGGTAATTGGAAGCAAAGAGATGATGATAACCAAATTAAACATATGAAGGAAATTTCTTGCACACATTTCCACAAACATAGAGACTGAAAAAATAGTCATAATTAGTTAATAATCTATTTAGCATGATTTGACTATGATATGATCTAAACACACCGAAAATCCTCCTTCTAAATAACTTGTTTGCTTGTATTTATTTATTTATCTACTAAAGTATATTAGAGAAATGAGATTTGTGAGATAATTATTAGTTTGTCTCTATTATTTGAGAGGAGGTGGAATGATGAGGAGTTGACCCTCACAAATATGATTGAGTAATAAATATTTAAATTATTTTTATTAATTTTTATTATGTTTAAATTTTTATTTTATTTATCTTAGAAAATAATTTAATTATTACATTTAAAATATTATTATTCAATTATCCTATTAATTTATAATAAATTTACACAAATTCCTTCTCACCCGATAAATTCACTTAAATTCATTCCAATTTTTTCAAATCTATTATTTTTTATTCTATCCATACATCCACCCAAATTCACTGTGAAATCCCCACCCTATCCAAACAAAAGCTGAGAGAACAAACATTGTAACTCACACCAACAGGTTTGCATGAGCCAACCACCTGGCTCAATTAATTAATCCAAGAGATCCCACCAAAAGCTAACACTAAATTATGAACCCTGGCTTCAACTTTGTTTCTCTACCTTTCTATGTCAAGAGGCGAAAAGTTTTTGCCGTGAATAAAGCTCATGGGATTGCCAACTATGCTTCTCTTGTGCGACTCAACATCCTCACTTTCCTTGTCTGTGTCTTCTTCCTCGTTCCCCAGTGCAAGATATTGCACCTTTTCGCCATAGAACTTAACCAAACCTAAGTAGAACGCGACCCCGCAAGCGGTGACTCCCACGATGAACCAGCTGAAGAGGATGTTGACGAGGGCCACGGCGCGGTGGAGGGATTCATGGTCTCTGCATCTCACGACCTGGTGTCCCTCTTCCTCGCTGATGAAGCACCCTTTGGGGATGAGCACCGGAGTCCATAGCATGAAGCCCGTGACAACGAGCCACAAGCCCTGAAAGAATATGCTAAGGGAACGAACAAAGCTAATTAAGAAGCTTTTGGGCATGGGGATACCCATGAGCGCTGTTGAGAGAGAGATGAAGACTAGGAGTTGAAGCATGAAGTGGTACTGTCCTTCGGGACCCTTGTGGTCTGCGGAGTGGAGGTGGATGAGGAGGAGTTGCTGAGCGAAGGCGATGGCTCCGAGGAGTTGCGTTAGGGCGTGTTTGGAGGGGTTGGGGATGCGGTCCAGGAGGAGGGAAAAGGCGGCGTAGACGAAGAAGGTGAGGGAGATGGAGGAGTGTTCGAAGTTGTGGAGGTGGTTGGAGGGGATGGTTCCATCAGGGTCCAAGGGTTGGTGGCGCTTGGGGCATATGAAGAGTTCCATGGTGATGGTGACTATAGTTCCTGCCATGATGAGGATAAGCTCCAAGTACTTGAATTTGGAGGTGGGGAACCATGGTGGGGCGGTGTAGGAAGTGGGGTTGAGAGCATGGAGCTTGATGTGGTTGAAGAGGTGCCACAGACCAATGAACAATAACCCTAAACCAGGAGCTACATGTCCGACAAGAGTGCCCATATTTTTAACCTAGTATTCTTCTTCTTGTTGTTGTTCTCTTTGAGAGGTTAGTGAATTGGTGAGGGAAGGGTGGTGGTTTTGATACGTTGTGTCATGGACTTCACACACTCTAGAGAGTTCTGAGGGAAAAACAAAAAGTGAAGGATGCGAATGTTGAGTCCAAGATTGGTGGTTTGAGGAATAGGGGTCAAAGCATGCATGTGTTTTGTTATGAGCATATGAATTATGAGATGATGAGTGGGGTGAGGTAATGAAAGGTGAGGATTAACAAATAAATAGGATTTGGAAACTTACTACTCTGTTTCGCATCTCTTTTGATGTTATCACTTTAATTATTTATCACATAAACTATCTGTAAAGTGTAAACACAGCGTGTTACATGTTCCATTACTCCAATCAAATAATCTATCCTTTTTATTTGGATTTTTTTTTTTCACAACAGCTTTTCCTATAAACATTCTTCCTACAACTATGTATCTTAATATAATGTTATTATTTATTATTTACCTACAACTTTTAACAATACTATATTTCTTACATATTTTTTCTTACCATCCTACAGAAAATCCAACTCACAACAAAATCTTATACTTTAATAAATACTTTCTATTTATTTTTACTCATAAAATTCAAATTCAAAACTTCACTCAAGAGTATAGAGTGTTAAACCAACTTTATAATGATAATAAACGTGGTATATAAAAAAATTATTAAAAAATGTTACGAGCAAAAAATTAATATATATATAAAGATACTAATAATTTTTATTATCTTTCATTATTTTTAAAATACTAGTTTATAAAATATATTTGATATAGTCAAAACCACGTATTAGTTAAGTATTTATAAATCAATTATATAAAAAATTGTAATATTAATTTTAATTCAAATTGTCCCTATCTATCCATGCACACGCTTCCTCTGGCACTGAGGTGAAAAAGTTGAAATGTTGAGGACTAGGACAAGGGTTTGTTCGAAACATGATGTGACTAGAAAAAAACGCTTCTTATCTACTAAAATGCAGGTATTACACTAGGTAATGTTACTAAAAATTCGTAGGTAATTTGGTCGTAGGTAATTACCTACGGATTATAATCCATAGGTAATGCACTCACCTTAACAAAATATTTTTATTTATTACAACCCCCTCCCTACTTTATATTATATTTAGGATTCTGAACCTCTTTAGATTACATCTAGAGTTGGAAGCGTCGATACTCCAACCACTAAGTTATCGAGGTTATTTTGAAAATAATTTACAAATAAATTATATTTATATTTATCCGTGTAAATATATAAATATAAAATATATAAATATAAAATATATATAAATATATATAAATATAAAAAAAATATATAATTATAAAATATATATATAAAATATAAAATATATAAATATAAAATATATTTATATTTTGATATATTTATATATTTATATATTTGTATTTATATATTTATATATTTATATATTTATATTTATGTATTTATGTATTTATGTATTTATGTATTTATGTATTTATGTATTTAAATATTTATATATTTATATATTTATATATTTATATATTTAAATATTTATATATTTAAATATTTATATATTTAAATATTTAAATATTTATATCTTTATATATTTATATATTTATGTATTTATGTATTTATGTATTTATGTATTTATGTATTTATGTATTTATATATTTATGTATTTATGTATTTATGTATTTATGTATTTATGTATTTGTATATTTGTATATTTGTATATTTATATATTTTATATTTTATATTTTATATTTTATATTTATATTTATATATTTATATATTTACACGAATTAATATAAGTATAATTTAGTTGTAAATTATTATAAGAATATCCTAATAGTTTAGTGGTTGAAGTATCAGTTTTTAACTTTAAAGTACTGGGTTCGATTCTTGCTAGTAATGGATAATTACTCACGGATAAAATTCCGTAGGTTTACCTACGGAATTATCCACGGATTACATTACCTACGGATAATATCCGTAGGTAATGGATAATTACCTACGGATAGAATTCCGTAGGTAATGTACAATTTACCTACAGATTTTCATCCGTAGGTAATATCCGTAGGTAATGGATAATTACCTACGGATAGAATTTCGTAGGTAATATCCGTAGGTAATGTACAATTTACCTACGGATTTTCATCCGTAGGTAATATCCGTAGGTAATGTAAAATTTACCTACGAATTTTTATTTGTGGGTAATATCCGTAGGTAATGTAAAATTTACCTACGGATTTGTATCCGTAGGTAATATTCCGTAGGTAATAGGCTTTTTTTTTGTAGTGTGTCCCCAATCACGATGCTATTGTCATTCTGCAACATTCAAAAGTTCATTATCGATTATTTATTCCATAATTGTCATCAGCTGAATCCAGTTCTCATAAACCAATTTTACAAGTCCATCCAATAATTTCACCCGATCCCATCAATTCTAGTGCGATCTTATATGAACTCTCTAGATTAGAGATTATTTAAAAATTATGAAACCGTGCTATTCCATGATCTTAAACATTTGATGACAAATTTTGGATCATATGATATATAATTTAAATATGTTAGAATCATTATTTATTAAGTCAAATAATAAAGTGATTTGAATAATTAAAGTTTTGGCTAAAGGCATATGTCATGAAAATAAATTTGTGTAGAGAACATAGAGTAATTTCTAATTTGATGAGGGACCAAGTTGGAAATACTAAAACTTAAGTAATTAACTTAATTCTGATTATTTAAAGGGTCATGGTTCCCTTCTGAGAGCACACACAGAACGTAAGTATCAGTCTCGTTCCTTTCTTTCTATCCCCATCAAGAAAGAAAATCAAGAGGGAAATACAGGTGCGGTTCAGGTGGAAGACCATATAAGATCAATATAGTATTCTACAAAGACATCATCATTATGGTTAATTCAGATACGTTTTCGCATTCAGTTTACAGACATGTACTTATTAGTATGAGATTACGTTTATGTTTGATCGTTAGAATAAAAAATCAAAATTATTATTATTATTATTATTATTAATTTTCCAACATGATTTTGATATATATATATATATATATATATATATATATATATATATATTATCATAAATTTATAACTTAGTGAAAGAAATTACATAGTCTTCCTTCTTTTCAAATTATTTGAAATTTTTGAGGATTTGAGGAAAGAATGAATGAATTTGAAGATTTGATCTTGTGTTTAGGGCAGCCATTAGTGGTATAAAGTGGTGATGCCGATTAAGTATTGTTTTTCTTTTTGTCTTTCTGAAAAATCCACCATGAACCACCTAATACAAGATTTGCCAAATCGCTTTTCTTATATAAAGAAAAAATAAAAAATGCATGAATGGATGTGACTTCATTCTTGTGGTTTCATAATAATTAACTCAATCATATTTTATGTATTTAATTTACTTTTTTAAATTGGCTACTTCTCTTTCCCCTTTATATATATGTGGGATTTATTTTAATAGTTTTAGTTTTTTTTTATTGCATTCTCAATATTCATTTGAAAAAAAAATTCTTTCAAAAAAATTCTTGTTATTAAATAATTTTATTAGACATTTTCAATTCAATTAGTTAACTTATAGGTTCTAATATTTAAAATTCAAACTATAATACTTTAAGTTTTAACTAGTTTATAATCTTTCAACTAATTTTATCTAACTTTTAGAGTGTATTTGGTAAACTACTTCAATAACTTATAACTTGTATTAAAATTAACTTCAATTAATTAAGTGAATAGATCATAAACAGCTTTAGGTAGATAAGAAAAGAAATATTGAGAAAAAAAAACAAAAATCAGAAAAAAAATGAAATAAAAAAATATTTTTATTATTCATCTGAGAAAAAATAAATAAAAAAATATTTATTTTAAAAAATATAAATAATTAAATTAAACTTAAATATTTATTTAATTACAAAATTATTGATAATAATTATTAATTAATTTTTATTAATAAAATAATTGAAAATAATAAATTTTATATTTTTTTAAGTGTAAAAATATTATTGAAAAGTGATTTTTTTTATCATTTTTTTTCTCAACCAATAGAAATATATATTTTTATTTATTTATTTTTCATTTTATATTTGTCAATGAAAGAAGTTAGAGATAATGGAATTTGAACTTGTACCTGGTGTTTCCTGTCCAGGAGGAGAGTGAAAAATAGGGTCTCAAAATTTAAGCAAACATGCTAGAGAGAAAATCTGTATCTAAAGTGAGATTGATAAACAGATTTGAAATGTGGTATCAAATACCACATTAACATGAATGGCTGAAGAGAAATGTCTGACACAAGTTTTTGGATGAATATCACATTTCAATTATGAGAGTAAACATTAAAAACATTTCAATTACTATTGTTTTGGTGTATGACAGAAAGTAAAAGTCAATGGGGGTAACATTAAATAACAGGTAATATGACTTTCTACAATGTAATTAAAAATGTTTGCATTTATTCAACCTCTCAAATAATTCTCCATCTAATTGAAACCAATACTTTGCTAAATAAATCACAGTAACTATTGTATCTCCTTAAAATGCAACTTGTTGTGCACCAATCTATAAAAGGATTTTAATTAGGTTTAACAAATTTACGACAAATTTTGAAACCTTCATTGATATAATAATAGTTGAAAATACAAAAATTTAACAACGGTTCGGTTTACAATTATCATTGTTTCTTCACGTAAATAATACTTGTTTGTAGGTCCACTATAATTTGAATAGTACACCATTTATTTAAGATGAATGATTGTTATCACTTGTAAATTAGATCAGTAATTTTTTTTACCATATTTTTTTAGGATTTTTTTCCTTTAAACTAAACTCCTTATACTCGTTAAAAGTTTCATTTAAAACTTTAATTTGCACAATCTTGTACATAAATTCTTTGAGTTTTTTCTTTTAAATTAAAATTAAACAGCTCAATTATTGTTAGAGAGATTCCTAATTTTGAGTGTAT